ATGCACGCTCGCTTTCACACTCTCCCTCTCCCTCTCCCTCTCTCTATATATATAATATATATATTATAAATAATATATCCTGTTTCTGTAGATTAAAATCTGACAATTGTCTGCATTTTGTCTTGCAGTTTTATTCTTGTAACTATCTATTCACTGTGATAGGCATGTTTGGGCAAGTTTCTTTGCTCTTGAATATTCCTGAAAGCTTAAATGGTTTCAGAAACACATTGTAAGAGAACAGCAGGTGGAAATATTTGTGGAGTATTAGTGAAGGGAAGGAAATATAGCTTCTGCAGGATGTGTTTTCATAGTTCATTTATGAATTTTGACTAGGGGTCATGCTATATATGCAGGTTCCAAATTATTGCACTTGTAATAAAACCCATTTTTGAGAGTCTCTGATGCTTTTAAGTACTGGCCTTCCCCCCCACCCCCCCTTTTTTGTTGTTGTTAGCACAGGTTTCATGTTTACAAACACTATTTCTTCTAAATATTTGCAAACTGTGACAGGTGAGAAGTATGCCTACCCTTGGAAACATACAGTGCAGAAAAGTACAAAGGTCTACTATTCTTGCTTCTCCAGGAGGTCAAAAAGGAATTGTGACATGATTGGATCAGGAGAGGGATTGGATCAGCAATATCTAAAACCTCACTTTCCGTCAAATACCCCTTCCTGGAACAAGGGAAACACTGTGCCAGCACAGTACAGGACGAAGCAGAATATAGAATGCCTTGCAAAGGTATCCCCCCCACACACACATTTTGTTGTGTCGCAGCCTGGAATTGAAATAGATTTAATTGGCATTTTTTATCAGTTGATGTAGACAAGATACTCAAACTGTGAATGTGCAAAATATCTAGGCTGTAGCACAAATATTAGGTCAATGAAAACAAACTTGCACTTGTTGGCTGCTTAAGTATATGCCCCCTTTGCTGTGACATGCCCAAGTAAGTTCTGGTGTAACCCACTACCTCTAGAAATAATTTACTGTATATAATTCAGTGAAGTCCACCTGCATGCAATTTCAATGCCACATGATCTCAGTTTAAATACACTTTTTTCTGGAAGGCCCCTGGGTTTATTGGGGAGCATATCTTACAGACAGTATCATACATACTGAGGAGCTATCAAAACATCTCCGGGATAAAGTTGTGCATAAGTGCCAATCAGGATTAGGTTATTTTGAAAATACCAACCTATAAACATCCTGAGCAGTACCATTGAATCCATTATTACAAAATGGAAATACGGCTCATCTATGTCTCTGTCTAGAGAAGACTGTTCACCAAAGCTAAGTGACCTAGTAAAAAGGGCAGGGACTGGATAAGACAATGCAACCAAGAGGTCCACCGTAACTGTGAAGGAACTGGAGAACCTGCAGCTGAGAGAGGAGAAGCCATCCATGGTACAACTACCAGCAGAGCTTCAACTATTGGGCTGTACAAAAATCAGTTAAATATTCCATAAAGCTGGGCTTTATGGAAGAGTGGTGAGAAGAAAGCCATTACAGAATCAAATCCATTTCAATGCTAATTTGGAGTTTGTGAAAAGCCACATGGGAAACACAGGAAACATGAAAGAAAGGTTCTCTGATCTAAGGAGAGCAACATTGACCTTTTTGACCTTCTTGCTCTATATGTGGCTCAAAGCCAATGGTGCACATTACCCTGAGAAAATCATCCCCATAGTGAAGTGTGGTGGCAGCAGCTTTGTGCTGCAGTATTGCTTTTCTTCAGGATTGAGGGCAAGATGGGTGGAGACAGATACAGGGCATTTTGAGGGGAAAACTTGTTTCAGTCTGCAAGAGACCTGGAACTGGTATGTAGGCTTCCAGCAGTGATCCTAAACACACAACCAAAGTAATGCTGGAAAGGTTTAGAAACCTAATTGTCTTAGGGTTGTCACAGTCCAGACCTCATTCTGATTGCAAATCAGTGGCAAAATTTGAAAGTTGCTTCATCCAGCTGGCAGAGCTGTACCAGTTTTGTCAGAAGGAGTGGACAAACACTGCAGGATTCAGATACACACAGCTGATTGAAACTTATGAAAGAAGACTCACAGCAGTAATTGCTAGCAAACATGCTTCTACTAAGAATTGACTCAGTTTTGTGAATACTTATCCAATCAAAAGTGAGACAGTAATTTTTTTGTCACAATGAAAACATTTTGCACGTTCACAATGTAGAGTGTCTTGTGTACTTCGAGTGGTAATAATGTCAATTAAATCCATTTCAATTTCAGGTGGTAACAACAAAATGTGGAAAAGTCAAAGGGGATGAATACTTCAGCAGGGCACTGTAAATATTGTCAATACTTAATAAAAGTATAAAATATTACCACCCAGCAGAATCAGTCTTGATTAGGAAAGTCCAGAAAATGCTCGCTTGAGAGCATATACTTATTTACATATTACATGTACACTTGGTGGGTACCGCCTAAACCTATGTCTAAAATCCTTCAGTGCAAATTCAGGTATGTATGTTTGTTATTAATTTATTAAATTATTTTATATACTGCTTTCTAGTTGTAATCTAAGCAGTTTGTAGAAATTATTAAAAAGACACAACAATAACACAGTAAAAGCACCACCATTAACTCTATAGACTGGTCATCCTTCATGGAAAGCGTGCATATTGTTAATGTAATATTGTAACTTAGATTAGAGCATAAGGAAAGCCTTGCTGATTTAGACCATAGGCTTATCTATCTAGTCCAGCATTCTCTTCCCACAGTGGACAACAAGATGCCTATGGGAAGCTCCTAAGCAAGACATTTGCCAACAGCATCTTTTTGCTCATGTTGCCTAGCAACTAGAATTCAGAAACATAGTGTCTCTGATACTGAAGGAGATGCATAACCATCAAGACTAGTAGCTATTGTTAGTCTTCTGTGAATTTTTTCTAATCCCCATTTAAAGCTGTCTTTTAAAGTTGGCTTCCGGCATTACATCCTGTGGTAGGGAATTCCACAATTTGAACTGCATGCAGCATGAAGAAGTTCTGCTGTTTGGCTGTCCAAAATTAGATATCCTGGATTCTAGCATTATGAGGAAGGAAGGAAAAATTCTCCTATCCTCATTCTCGGTATCATGCATAATTTTATATATCTCTAATACAAGGGTCCCCAAACCTGCAGCCCCTAAGTGGTAGGACATTCACTAGTGGTAAATTTGTTAAGAAATGCATGGTTAAAGCAATGGAGGAAATATGCTGTGATAAGGTATCTTGTATTAGTTGTGTCAGTTTATCTGCATCTACAATCACTGTGCGTGTTGAAGAACTAGAAGAGCTGCATATGTCATTGATTATTAAGCCAAAAAGTTTTGATTCTTTTTCTTTGGAGTTAGAGGAGAGCAATGACATTATAGACACTGTTCAACTACTAATATTGATCAGGGGGATAGATTCCAACTTCAGAATTATGGAAGTATTGTGTGCACTGCAGAGTTTGAAAGGCACTACAACTACAGAAGACATAATTTTTAAGGTGTGTGAATCAGTAGAAAATACTGGTCTGAGTTGGGATGAATTGGAAAGCATCACAGCTGATGATACAAGAAATATGGAGCGAAGTAAAACTGGTGTAGTTGCAAGAATTAGTGAAGAAATATTGAAAAGGTACACTTCCCATGCAATTTCTCTGCATCATCCATCAGCAAGATGTGTGTAGTAAGATTCTTCAGTGGGAAAATCTGATGCGTATTGCTGTATCCAGCATTAATTGCATCAGGTGTTATGGCCTTATTCATCATCAGTTTCAAAATTTTCTCTCAGATAGAAGCAGAATATGGAGATGTATTGTACCATGCAGAAGTCAGCAGAGGCAAAGCCATCAAACATTTTTTTCAGTCTTCATCATGAAGTTGATGTCTTCCTCAAGGAGAAAGGAAAAGGTCAAGAAGTTATTTCTGACCCTGGGTGGATTTTTGATTTGGCTTTCTTAACTGATATCACAGAGCAACTGAACATATGAATCTATGGTTGCAGGAAAAAAGAAATTTTGTGTGTGACGTGCATTCTGAATTGTAAGCTTTTGAAGCAAAACTAAACATTTTGTGAAGCAAGTTAGTAACTTTTCAAACTTTTCATGCTGCAGTGAACTAAAATTTAATAAGGATGGGAATTTACAATTCAATGTTGAAAGATACATGCAGGTGGAATTCCAGAACAGATTCACTGATTGCCACAAGCATGGAAAGGAAATAAGAATGCTTCAGTATCCATTTGAAGTAGCCCCAGAAGATGCAAGTAACTCTTTTCAGATAAAACTAATAATTTTGCAAGCAAGTGATCGTCTCAGAGACATTTACAAAGAAAATACTTCGTTAGCTTTCTGTTCTGGTCTGTCTCATCGGTTTTCAACCACCGGTCCTTGTGCTGGTGTCAGTCCACGGAAGATTTCCTGCTGTTCTGTGGAGGGGCTGCATCCCAGTCACCATGGACTGGCATGGGGGTGGCAGTGCTCCATTAGCTCTTCCTGGGTTGGCAACACATTCATGGGGGGTGCACTGGTGCTACTGAAGGGGAGGCAGGAAGGGGAGAGATGGCTCAGTGAGGGTTGGGAGCCATGCTGCACCAATTTTGGTATTTCATTCTTTTGTTAACATTTTTTGTTGCTTAGTTTCTGGTTGCTTTGGAGAATTTTCCTTTTTTGGCATTGTGTTTGGAAACTAATACACAGAATACTGTATTGTGTGTATGGTGCTTTTTGTTTCTGCTTCTGTGGTCCCCAAGGTGGTTTTCCTGTTTTTGCTGGACCCCAGCTGTGGAAAGGTTGAAAACCACTGGGCTACCTGATATATTTATCAACTCTTTCCTGTTCACACTCTTTGGCACCACATACATCTGTGAATGGACTTTTTCCAAGTTGAAAATTGTGAAATCTAAGTGTTGCTCAAGACTTACGGAAGAACATTTACATGGCATTTTAAGGGTGTCTGCCAGAAACCTTGACTTGGACATTAATGCCTTGGCTAACAGAAAACACCCACAAAAATCACAATGACTAGGTAAGCACATGTAGTGAGATAAAAGGACTCTTCAGTAAAATATTGTTCCAAAATGGATTGTGTTCAAGTTAAGCTTTCTTCATTGACTTCTGAATGTTTGCTTTTGAACTTAATCAGTAGGTTAATAATTTTGTTACATTTTGATTTAAGATGTGACCCCCCCTTTAGGCATTGGGTACTGTTAATGTGGTGCCCATGTCGCAGAAGGTTGGGAACCACTGCTCTAATACATCCCCCATAATTGCTTTTTTCTAAGCTAAAATCTTAAAAGTGTTACCAGTTTTCCTCATGGAGGAATTACTTCAGTTCCAACAGTTTGATTGCCTCTTTTTCCACAGTATCTCGCTCTACACTATTCTGCTTGGGCTGCAATGATCAGAATTGTGCACAGAGTCCCAAGTGTGGGCGCATTGTAGATTTGTATAAACGTATCATTATAGTAGCAATTTTAGATTCTTTGCCTGAAGATTTCTAACACAGGCTTTGCTTTTTTCACAATTACTGTTTTCATCTAGCTATTGACTGCAATCCTAAAACACCAGTCTTGGTTAATTATCCCTTAGCTCAAACCCCATCAGTATAAATACAGTTAGGATATTTTTTGCATCACTTTATACAGGCAGTCCCCAGATTACGAACAAGTTCTGTTCCTGAGCAAATGGAAATTCGTCTTTAAGTCGAATTTGTATATAAAATAGATAATGTATTGTTGGCCCTCCACTTTTGCAGGTGTTAGGGGCACAGTGCCTCCTCTTTGCAGTGTTCATAACTCAGATGTTTGGAACTCGGAGACTGCTGTACTTGATTACACTGAACAACAGTTCCATTTTAATTATGTTTCCTATGGTTTGGAGACATCTTTTTGGAGCTCTTCAGTAATCATTTTTGGTGTTCTGTCCTAAAAAATTTGGCAGTGACTCTGCTTACTTCAAATTCCATATTATTTATGAGTAAGTTTAGAAGCTCTAGTCTCAACAGATTTTTGAGGGACCCAACTGTTTATGTTCCAAAAATTGTCTATTTATTCCCATTCTGTTTCTGTCCTTTAACCAGTTACTGATATATAGGAGAACTTCTCATTGCCTGCTAAGTTTGCTTGGGAGCCTTTGGAGAGAGACTATATAAGAAACTTTTTGAAAGTCGCAGTAAACAATGTTTGCTACATTACCGCTATCCATATGTTTGTTGATAATTCAGAAAATTCCGAAAGATTTGTGAGAAAGAATGTACTTTTGCAGAAGCTATCCTATCTCTTTTTCATAATGACTTGGTAATTTTACCTTTAAAATTGCTTTCCACCAACTTACCCAAAATAGACATTAAGTGGCCTACCCTATATAACTCCCTTTTTAAGAATACATATTATATTAACAAATTCCTGGTATAGATGCCAATCTTAGGGGCAAGTGGTTTGTTTGTTTATGAAAAACAGCACTTTACATTTGAGTTCTTTAAGATCCCTCAGATGGGTACCATCTGGATCTGGTGATTTGTTTGCTTTTCATTTTTCAATAAGATATACAACTTAATAAGAGGAGATGAGTCATTATTGCTTCAGGTTCCCTGAATATATTGATTCAGGCATGAGTATATGCCCTGTATCTTCTGCTGCGATATCAGACAAAATAATTCATTGAAGACCAAGTTGTTAAAATGGTCAGATGCAAAAGATGACAGACCTCCTAAATCTTTTATACTTGTGAAGAAGAGGGAATTTCTATACCTGCTGAAGTTTCTATTTGTATGTGACTTTTAAAAAGGCAGGTGTCTCTCTCAGTATATGTGTGTGTGAGAGAGAGAGAGAGGGAGGGAGAGAGAGGGAGAGAGAGAGATTCTACAGAACTGTGTACTTACATAGTTGTGTGGAGCTGGATTGTATTCAATAAAAAAAAGTCAGCATTGCTGGAAATTAGATGAAAAATCAGTTTGTTAACTCAATATCAAAATGTTATTTTTAAAAAGTTAAAATTAAGTGTTTGATTACCTTAAATGGCAGCAAGCACACTGAACCTAAAATATTATTAGTATCTCTGCTTATGAAGGTATGACACATTATAAGCAAAAAATGTTGAAATTCATTTTAATTTGTAATACAATATGTATTTCAGTAGGCAAAACAGTAGTAGTGATTTGCAATAAATAAATAAACCTCTTTAGTATGGAGTATGGAGCTATCAGTTGGAAGCCTGCCATGACTGCTCTAAATTAAAGTTGTTGATGTGTGGTTTTCTATTGGCTGCTTGGAATACCATTTTGTCAGTGAATGGATTGTTCATTCTGACTTGCCTCAATAAAAATGATCTCCTTACAACAGAATTCTAAAGTCAATCACTTGCAAACAAAAAGGCCTTCTGCAGCTAAAATGAAAGATGCCTGTAATGTTCTCTGGGGAGTGTGGGAGATCCAAGAGCCAAATGCACTTGCCTTTCCTCCATATTCTAGAGCGAGAAACTGAGTGAACTAGCAGTGTTTGAAAACCTGGCCTCTGAGGTAGAACGATATGGATTATGTCTTTACCTGGAAGCAAACACAAGGAAATAACTATAGTTGGACATCATCCTGAAGCTTTTGCTGACTTGGCTCAAGAACCCCTGTTGAAGCTGTAGATCTCAGGAACAGTCATTCTGGTTCTGGTCATGATTCTGCATTCATTCATTCATTCATTCATTTATGACATTTATTCTTGGCCCTATAGCAAACTCTTGTGGTGGAGATAGAAGAAGAATTAAAAATAATGAAACAATGTAGCAAAAATAGCAGAAATAATAAAGCAGTATTTCCAAGCAGGTCAAAAACAAGTTCAGTTGATGTTTTAAAAGACCTGAGAAATGGGAAGACTTTCACCTTATTTCCAGATGACATCAAGGGAGATACCAGGTGAGTCTAAGGAGATCATTCCAAAAAGGGGACATCATATCCTAAAAATTCCTCTTATTGGTTACCACTGGCCTGTTTTCACAAGGTTAGGGAACTTGGAGGAGGATTTGCAGTGAAGGTCACAATACTCAGGCAGTAAGCGCAGTCTCTAGGCTACGAACAAGTTCTGTTCCTGAGGCAAATTTGTATACAAGTCAGATCATGAATATAAAAGCATATAAAGCATTTAATAAACATAAGAAAACACTTTCATATGCACTAAAACATCTTAAACACAATACAGCATTATAATAATGATAATACAGTAATAATAAAGTAATTACAGGTACTGAAGAGAGAGAGAATCTAATTGTTGAATGTCTAAAGCTTAATGCTTTCCCAATGACCGATGGCGTCTCACCTGTCTCTGATCACTTTATTATTACAACTTTAGTTTCAGTCATGGTTGTTTTCTTTTTCTAGATGCATCACTCGCACTTGCATCAGATTTACTCTTTGGAGGCATGGTTGCAAACCAAATACAGGACATAGTTACAGAAGACAACACTAAGCTCCACATGATCCAAAATACATTGGCTTGGATATGCTAGTTTTTCATAGTTTGAACTTTCCCACTCACTGCTTTTTCCCTCCTCCTCCCCTTTCCCTCCCTCCCTCGCCTCACCTCCTGGTGCCCATGGGCACCTGCTTACCACTCTAGGATGAGATGGGACTTCTGGGGTTGCCGTTTGTAAGTGAGGGTTGTTTTAAACTTGAATGTTCGTAACTGGAGGATTGGGTATATATAGTCCTTAAGATAGCTAGGCCTTATGCTATCTAAGGCTTGAAAATGTTAAGTATTGGTACTGTGCTCTAAAACAGAGTGGTAGCCTGCAAAATTGCTTCAGAACTATCAAGATGTTTCCAAGGGCTGGTCCTTCCTTGAAACCTTGCAGCTACAGTATATGCTGAAGTAACTGACATTTCTAAGGACTCTTTAAAGGCTAACCCTCATAAAACACATTGCAATAATGGTTTCATCAGGGTATGGATAAGAGATTGGTCTGTCTCTGTCCAGAACATGTGATTATTGGCTGGTTGGTAGAAGATGTTGCATGCCTCAGAGCCCCCTTGGTCTTCCAGGACTGAGTTTCAGTTTATTGGCTCTCATCCAGGCCATTAGTGCTAAACCAGGCTCTGGTTTAGCATGTATATTACCTTAACCTAAATGAAATGAGAAAGAAAGAGACAGAGGGGGAGAGAGTTGGGTGTCAAAAGTGTATTGATAGAACACGCATGCCTAATTTCTGGAAGACCTCCTTTAGCATTGCATGCATGTTAAATAGCTCAGGGGACAAGATGGAAGTATGTGAGAGCCATGAAGTCAAGTTGTACTCTTTCCAATGGAACATTCTGGAATTGACCATCAAGAAAGAACCAACTCAAAGCACAACAACTTGGTTTGTGGTATTAAAAGAGGTCTAGATGTGAAACTGGATTGAAATGGAGCCAAATCATCTATCTCATTAAAGAGTTTCTGGAGTTCTACAGCAACTACTCATTTGGACATTTTCTTGATAAGGATGGTGTACTTTAATGAGTGGATAGATGATGTTATGAAACAAAGAGTATAGGCTGTCTTATATTATCTCCACAAGTAATTTTCTGCATTAATTACTTGGTATGTGTTTTTCTGGTGCTTACTATTATTCCAGGCATGACAGGACTGTCCTCTTGACAAATATACATTTACTGGAAAACTTTCTCTTCATATCTTTGTCATGCCCCTGCATTCTCAATTTCTTTTGTTTTCACAAAATTAATTTGTGTTATCTTGAGCAGTTTAAACTGGTGGTTGAGATTGGCATGGTTTGCAAAAAAAATGCTGTTCTGGTGGAGAGAAGATAATGTACTGGCAATGAGTGTTATATTCAGAAAAGAGGCAAATTAACCTTCTTATGCAAGCAGGTGCTCAGAGGAATAAGCATTAGGTCATTTATTACAAGGTACCAACCAATTTGATCTAGGTTGCTGGCACAGAAAAGGCAAAGGTTTATTGGGTATAATTAAATACAAGAATCTGAAGATAGAAGGGAAGTGTATTTTTATGAAATTGTATATTATACAATGTAAGAAAAAGACTGCTGCTGAGTAAGAGGACACATACTTTGTGAGCAAAAGTCCCAGGTTCAAATATTGGAAGCTGTTCTATGGTATGTCAAAGCTTTGGTCCATCTAGCTCAATACTGACTATACTGACAGGCCCATCTCCCCAGAATTTTAGACAGGGTTCTTTCCCAGCCCTACCTAGAGAGAGATTCAATCTGGATTGGACCTGAGGTCTTTGTCACATAAAACATTCCCTACCACTATGCTACATTCCCTTCCCAGTTCCTCTCCTGGTAGTGCTGGGAAGGAGTCCTGTCTGAAACCCTGGAGGGCTGTTGCCACTCTGAAGCAGCTACATAAGGCAGCAGCTTATTGCTGCTCTGATTACTCTAATGCTTGTAACAATCAGCAAGCTTGTAGCACTTAAGAAATTACTTGGTGCCAGGGAATGATGATGCTGACCATAAAGCTGAAGAGTGTTCCATTTTAAACCTCTGGAGCATTTTGATGAGCAGTGGGTAAGTCCCAGATGTTTTATTGTCCATCAAACCCCATTCATGCTAGTTCTGTAACTATCAAGTTGTATTGTGCCTTATTTGCTGCTCCATGTGAGAAGTACGATTTATTGGTTCATCTGGGCTTTTTATCTTCAACACTCATTTGACTCTGCCTTGTACTGGGGTGGATGTTTCATTTTTGATCAAGAATAATTTGATCAAGTGCAGAATCAACAGTTACAAAGCAGGCTTCAGAAGGGTTGGTCAATACTGGTATTTCTATATAAATGAGACCCTGGCTCATCAAACATGCAGAAACAGATGGTTATCCCCATGTTAATTACAAAACACATACAAGCCAAATTCAGATAGGTATTCATGGGCATTTGTGTACTGCAGACTTAGATTCCTTTTTCCATTGAATTGAATGACTTTTTCAATTTATTGGATATTTCCGATGAGGGTATCTGTTCTTTTCAGAAGTAATTAGCAATTGGAATTTCAGCTTCCAACCATTAGGCTTTAAGCAGCATGATATTTTATTGAAATAAATAGGAGAATATAGTATATAGTCAGTAATTCCATTACTTAGTAAATACATAAGCTGACTAGGTTCTATTGTTAAATTGCTATTTCTCTTGACAAAAGGTATACTTATACTTGCAAATGTTTCATTTACTTGCCACCTACTTCCTAACATACTCTTTGAAAATCATAACGATATTAGGTTAATTTGTATTTCTTGTAATCAAGTTTCCTTGTACATTCTTTTAATCTTTATTATTTTTATAAAGCAAAAGCAAATCTTTCCTACCTTTCCAAGGCAGGGGTGTTACTAGAATTACCCATGGTTTGATACACTTTTAAAAAACACATCTTCATGTCTGTCTGCTGTACCAAATTATTAGAGAAGATTTTCTAAAGGTGTACCTTGGGCTATGTATCCTGTTCTTACTTAGATAGAACTAGGGCGATTCAGTGACATTATCTCAAGATTTGGCTCTTAGTGTACCACTATGGTTTGAGTTTTTCCTTTCTGACATTAGAAGGATTGCCCTGCAAGTCTGTGAGTTTACTTGGAGCCTGTGATATAGAAATACATTTTTTTCTTTTTCTATAAAACAAGGTTGATTCTGAACAATTTTGGCATAATTTCCTTGCTTTGTGCTCTCTTACTTGTTTAAGGCATGCAGTGTTAAAATAGTTTAAAGCAGTATATAGAACAGTTGTTCAGGGAAGACAGAATGTAGTGTTTGAAATCCATGCCAGTTGCAAAATTACTACTGGTTGGTTCATACCAGGCCTTTCTACCTGCATGACTCATTTACTAAAAACTGATTGAAGCTTTGCTTGCCAGTTTAACAAAGTTATCCACAGTAAAACTGATAAACTAATTACTTCTCTGATCTGAAAAGGAATCAAGTTGCATTTTTGGGTAAAAGACTGGTAATAACTTTTTTAGGACCCTTGCTTGGTGACAAGATATGTAAATACATTTCTTTCTGTAATGGTTTATTTGCTTCTCTGAAGGCTATCAGTGAAACCAGGATAATTGAACTTAGGTTCCAAACCCCAAAGCATGGCAACTGAAGTCCCATTAATTCTAATAATGCATTGTGCCAGGAGATCGTTCCTGGAATTTGGAAGATCAGTGTTTCATTCTGAAGAATAACTTTTGCAGAAATTGGAAAATGAAGAAGTAAATTTTGGGCAGCCATAAAGGCCATCAGGACACTTCTATCTTTATTAGTCTAGAAGAAGAGAAGATATCCATAGTTTTTGTTGCCCAAGCTTTGTCAATCCCAACTGCCAAAAATCTGCAAAAGTCCTTTGTGTTTGGTCAGCCAGAGTATAGAACTCCAAATGATAGCAATTCAGTGCCTATAGGAAAAATCCAAGACAGAAGTTCAGAACTTTGTATATTCCTTGTGCATTGTTTTTGTATGGGGGTCTCCCTATCCTAGTTGTTGTTTTAGCCATGTTGAAATCTTTAATGGGGTTTGTTGTTCATAAAAGAACCATTATGGTGGTAGTTTGAGAGGTGCTTTATTGCTTCTAGACACCTTACCATTCGACAGCAAGACTCAATGATGCTGCAATCCGGTGTGGCTACCTGTAGACCTCTGAATTCAAAGGATTACAGGCAAAGGTTGCCTTGGGAGACCTGAGTTCTAGTCCCTGCGTAGCCATGGAGCTCACTCAGTGATTCTGGGCCAGTCACAAGACTCTCAGCCCAACCCACCTCACAAGGTAGTTGTGAGGATAAGATTGAAAGAAGGAGGACAATTATGTAAATGAGTTTCTTGAAAGGAAAAAGGCAGTAAAATAATAATAATAATAATAATAATAATAATAATAATAATAATATACCAGGAAATATATCCTTGTGAGCTGCTCCCTGGAGAGAAGCTCATCTACATGGAGCCTTTTGGAGTGATGTTCTTGTTTTTCCAGGGATTTTAGTTTTCATTCTCTGTTGCTTTAAATCCTTTTCTGTTTCTTAAATATTTTTACTGATACCAGGTTTTAGTTTGTCTTTACTTCTATTTATAGTGTAGTTTTTAACTTTCAAATTTTATAGTGTATTTTATGGATTTAATTGGTATGAACTGCCCAGAAGAGTTTTGACCACTGGGCAGTATAGAAATGTACTTAAAAACTAAATAAATGATATTTTACCAAGTTGCTAAACATGCAAAAGCCTTGTTTTTAGCAAGAAAAAATGTGAAAACAAATTGAAGTTATTATAGCTACCATGTTTTTACTGTTGCTGCTTTTAATCCAAGTTCCAATAAACTGACCTTTATTATTATTTTTTCCTGCTACCATAGATAAGTTTGTGAACTTCACCCATGGTTCTCTAGTAGCAATAGAAAAGAAAGGTTGTACATCAAAATACAGTTTAGCCCGTAATGCATCATTATCAATGTGTGTTGTGCACTGAGGGGAGTAACAAGAGCTAGAACAAGGGAGAGCAGGAGTATGGGTTGAAATGTGATACCACGTGCGCAGATTTCTTTCGGTAGCAAAATTGTTTAGTATGTCTTTAATGGAACCAAGGTATATATGTTTTGCTTTCACTGACTTCTCTTTTCCTGTTACTTCTTATTTTGAATTATGATAATTCATCCATTCTCACTGTTGTCCAGTTGAACCCGACGCCACTTGTAGAACTAAAGAAGTTTCATAGAGGAAAGGAATGTGTGTACTGGTCTCTACCCAACCCCCCTCCCAGAAAATGACGCAGGGGGAGACAGGTTTTTTAATTGAAGCTTAGTACTTCAAAACTGCAGTCTTAAATATACTTACTAATAAGGTAGCCTCAGTAGACACTGTGACCTGGATCCAAGCTTCATGAGCAGAACTTCTCTGTCCTTTTCCCCCTCTGTAGCTAGCTAGATAACAGCCAGTTTCCTTACAGAGGGTCCTCCATCTCTCCATAGAAGAATTGTGGGGTGCATGGAGTAGAATCTGTTCCACTAGCAGCTTCTGCTCTGCTGGAAGAACACCACTCGATAGAACCCTTACTTTTCATTATGCAAATAGAAGGATAATAATATAAGAACTGATGCACATTCCTTAGAATCTAATTCACTGGCTTTTCCCAAAATTAACAGTGCTTGTACTGCTGGTTTCATGCCCTCTTACTACTTCAGCCTCTCCCTTCCTCCAAATACTGGCTGAGCATTGTGGGGATAGCAGAGATCCAGCTGGAGTGGAGAGGACAGGTAATTGCCTCCTTTCGCTCACATACAGGACAGTTTGGATCTAAGCTGTGGTGGTAATGGTGTTTGTAAAGAAACTAATCAGTTTCTTAATCCTCATGACTATGGATGTAGGCAGTGAATAACGATGGCCCTGGCATAAAGAAGGTAGACCTTCTGTTCTCTGCAAGGCTACTTCCTTTCTCCCATGACAAACATATACTTATCACCTACTCATCCAGTACCACACTCACACTGTTGCCATGTTGTAATCTAAATTCTATTAAAATTTGAAAGGTGAACCAGAATGAAGAAGCTAAGTCAAGCTTTTTAACACAGCATAAACCGGCTTTGCAATAGGACTTTTCTCCAGCTGGCTATTAAGAGATGTGTGGCAAATGTAGAAGTGGGGGTGGGAAGGATGGGGCGGTTGAGGAGAAAGTGGACTTTGTCTGCTTATGCACAGGGCTGACATTAATACCCAACTTGTATTTGTACCATTACTGTTGAATGCAGATCTGGAAAAATAAGTTGTTGAACTGGAGGAATACTCTGGCACTTCCTTGTAGGGAGCTGTCAAATTGTGGCTCAGGCCAATGTCTGTCTTTCCACAGGTACCTGAAGGAATTCCGCACGGAACAGTGCCCTCTTTTTGTGCAGCACAAGTGTACTCAGCACAGGCCCTATACATGCTTCCACTGGCACTTTGTGAACCAGCGTCGTCGCCGGTCTATCCGCCGTCGGGACGGCACATTTAACTACAGTCCTGACATTTACTGCACCAAATATGATGAGACCACAGGGATCTGTCCAGAAGGAGATGAGTAAGTTACTCAAGGCTGCATCTTACTTGACCAGATGGAGTTTCCAGCCTGCACTTACAGAGAGGAGAGAATCCAACAAACCAACCAACTTTTAAAAATCATACAGAAGGAGCAAGAAGAAATGTGGAAAAACTGCTCTAGGAACTTGAACAAAATACTAATTCCAGTGGCACCACATACATATATATATCCCTCCCCCCAAAAAAAGCTGAATTCAAAATTTTGAGGTCTGGAATAATCCTAGAGAAATTAGTGAGGTTTATTTTAAAATAAATGGCTTGAGGAGTGTGTCCTCCTTTTATATTCTTATTTTACAACTGGAATTATTTTCAAAAGAAAAAAGGTGCTGGATTTGACAAACCTGAGGACTATGTTCATCTAAAAAGAATTACTTGTTGGGGAGCATGCCTCAGGCTTTAAGTTTCTACGAGCTCTCTTTTCCCCCCCTCCTTCCTTTTTAGGTGTCCATTCCTGCATAGAACTACTGGTGACACAGAGCGGAGATATCACCTGCGCTACTACAAAACTGGAATCTGCATCCATGAGACTGACTCAAAAGGAAACTGCACCAAGAATGGCCTCCACTGTGCTTTTGCTCATGGGCCACATGATCTCCGCTCTCCAGTTTATGATATCAGGTTAGTAGAGAATGGGGTCTTTGTCTGTGGAAGCATGGTTGCGGAGCCTAAATGTAACCGATCAGATTATGAAATGGTGCTGAATGTCTGGTGTAGTTTAACATCAGAAGAATGGTGGTGTTCTGCTCTCACTTCTACTCCCCTGTCCCTTCAGAAGGAAACTACCCCTTACAGTCCTTTCTGGCTGCATCCTGTGGCCTTTATGCATTGCAAGGTGAATTTGACCATTATCTTGGGGTAGAGAGGCCATATGGAAATTGTTGTGTGGTTGTATTCAGCAGATGCCCAGCTATCTCATCAGACTCTGAGAAGGCTCAATACTGCATTCAGCAGATATATGGTGGAAATGATGGCAGGAAGATAATGGAACTCTTTCCCTACTCTGCCCCCACCAGATGACTGTTTAAAGATCAGCCTTTCAGTGAAAAAGTGATTGTATGACTGTCCTTGATTTCTTAGAACCAGATTTGTATAGGTGATATAAGCAGCCTTTGTAAGTTAGGGCCAAACTAGGTATTTGAAAGCAGACAGTGTTTGGGAATTCTGGTCACCACTCGGTGTACATGAAGCAAAGAAGAGGACATATATATATATATATATATATATATATCTGTGTGTGTGTGTATATATATATATATATATATATATATATATATATCTGTGTGTGTATATATATATATATATATATATATATATATCTGTATATATATATATATCTGTATATATATATATATATATATATATATATATATATATCTGTCACCCATCACTAGCAAGAGTGTTGCCTGAGGAAAGTGGCAGCAGGCAAAGAATCAAATACCTGCTTTCCTGTTGCTGTGCATCTGCTTGGTGATGATGGAGGTTCCCAGATCTGAGCTTGCCACCAAATGGCTTTAAAATAATGTATGAGGTAAAAATCTGGTTTCATTAAATGCATGGGGGAGCATGTTTAAATAAATTACATTAGAATAAAAGTTTCTTTTTCCATTAGTTCTGTAAAACTAAAAATATTTTATTTCAAATTTAGGAACTGAATTAAATATGTATTGTTTTGTGGTTGGTTGCATGTATGATATGGAGACTAAAAGGCATGATTTATAAAATTAAAATACTCAGAGCAAGATAGTTCAGTTGACTCTCTTTTGGGATGCAGGATTGGAGGACTGACTATGTGCTCAAATAATTTGGTGGAAGTACAGTGGTTGAGAACCAATAAGGAACTTACCACCCCCATATAGCACTATGCTCTGCAGGCAAATAGATGTGTGTATTGAATAGGAAATTAAGAAAACAGAATTGGAAAATGGGACACCTAATGCAGTTTTACCAAGTGGGCAATGTGCTTCATAAGAGTCTGACTTAAGACTAGTAGGGACAGTACAGTACTCACAGAATTGTGCATCTTTAAAAGTGGGGTTGGCAATAAATTTAAAAAATTTATTAAAAATGTATGGGAGTTCCTGCATTGTGGAAATTCCTATTTGGTACTATATTTTTCTCTGTCTGCCTGTTGTTCATTTAACTCTGTTCCCTAAGGGAGCTTCAGGCCATGGAGGCTTTGCAGAATGGTCAGACCACATCGGAGGGTGGCATTGAGGGTCAGTCTGCAGTTGCCGCTAGCCACGCTATGATAGAGAAAATACTCAGTGAAGAGCCAAGGTGGCAAGGTGAGTTTCTTAGAACAGAGAAGTCCTTTGTTCTTGGACTGCCCACTGCTCTTCTCCTAAGGGCCTTCATGTAGGAAGCTATATAACTGTCATCTCAGCTTAACCAGTCATACCTGTCTTTACAGACACAACATATGTTTTGGGGAACTACAAAACAGAACAATGTAAGAAGCCCCCACGTCTCTGCCGCCAGGGCTATGCCTGCCCTTACTACCATAATAGCAAAGATAGAAGAAGAAGCCCTAGGAAGCACAAATACAGGTACAGTGCTTCAGGACCTAGAGTTAAAGCCGGCATGACTGTGAGGAACCAAAAGTTTTACATTTTCTTCTTTTGGATAGTAGTTTTATTCTAACTTCATAGTGGTAAAGTTGCATCAGTTATGAGTTCTACTGCAAACCAAATGGCTAATTCATCTATCAGTTCTGTGTAGGATCCTGTCACAGGTCATGATTAAATGCAGTGTTCTTCACATGCATTGTGCTGTATGTGATTACCTCCCTTTGTAAAAACTCAGTGAAATAATCTTTGTAATAAGTTATCTTACCTAGGCGGCCATCTTTGTTTCAAGTGAGCCACAACCACTACTGTCTTCTTGCTAGCAATTCTGAAACAGTTACCCCGATCTGAGAGCAATGAACGCCTGTCTAAGTTAATATTTGAACTAATCCTCGGTTTGAGATGATACTGTGCTGTTTTCAGAGTGGGAATCACCCTTTTTTCCCTCATGGAAAATGTACTGCACATCAAAACCTACCACTTTTGAGAAAAGGCTTGTGCAGTCTTTCCCAACCAGGTCCTCTCCAAATGTTTTAAACTACAGCTCCTAACATTTCTAACCATTAGTCACGCCCCCTGAAGCCAATGGAAGTTGAAATCAAAAATAGATAGAGGGTACATGGTTATGAAAGGGCCTCTCTGGAATGCAAATTTTTAGGAAATTTGCCATACTCCCTGCTCTAAGTATATGCTGATTATCTTTCATATGCCACCTTGGTTTCTGTTCTTGCTGTCATGTGCATTCCTCCACTGTGGGACTGAGGAAGAGAATGATTCTTGTTCTCCAAGACATGTGTTTCGTGTTTGGCTCTAGCTCATTAATATATGTGAAACCTACCAGCTTCTGCCCTTGGTCAAAGTGAGCTGAAATCTTAGCCTTGAACAATGGAATAAAACTTTTTACCTCCTTGGGGAGGACTGTGTAATAAATGGAGATCTAAAAGAAGGACATCAGGAAACAATAGTTCTGGATTCCCAGTTTGGAACAAAGTTGTACCTTTAATTGAATATAGTAACTAAGATTTGGGCTTCTGATTCTGTTCCATTGCCTTTTTATTTGACCAGATCCTCCCCATGTCCTAGTGTGAAGCATGGAGATGAGTGGGGAGATCCCAGTAAGTGTGACAATGGAGATGCGTGCCAGTATTGTCATACCCGCACAGAACAACAATTTCACCCCGAGGTACAGTAAGCAGACCATTTTGTTGGACACCTAGCTAGATAAGTAGAGGGATTCCAGAATACATAGGAACTGATAATATTTCTAATAAGCTCAGAAGTATAGTAAAAATATTAGAATGAGGATGAAGGTCCTGAAGTGCTGGAATGGCTTGAGATCTTGAATTCTTTGTAAGTGCACTTCTTGTCACCCAGGTAAGTTAGGATACAGGTTTCCTGGATGTGAGAGAGTGTTCAAGAAGGCATAATGGGGGGATGTGGGAGGGAGGAAAATGTGGTATAGGCAGATGCACAGAATGTGAAAGCCGAGAAGATGCAGACAGGAGACTGAGACAGACATAGTTCCTAATAATAAACGAGGCTGCAGAATCTCTTTGCTGTCTCTTCTTTTTTGGGTTTGTATTACACTTAGAGAGTTCAGGCACTTGTAATATATGCAGATTAAATGTGTGAAGAGGGAATTGTTACAGCCTCACCTCTTCCTTCCTGCATGTCTGTCACCCACTACATGTGGAGGGGAGCATCCCTTCTGTCTGTGGAGGCTCCGCACGTGCTTGGAACCTTGCTTTCCCAGAGTTTCAAATTGTTTGGAAAGCCTGCATAGATAGAGGAGGCTCTCCGCTTTAGCAAGAGAGCACCTTATATTTGTAGGGAGAGTGATGAAAACACATGAGGAGGGGATGGAGCTAATGCACCTTCCCTCCTTACATATTTCACACACACAGACACGCCAAGTGCTTGAATAGCGCTCTAATCTGTCCAAAGTGATGCGATAATGTTTTATGGGCTTATTCAGAGTAAGGCTTAGAGCAGTGGTGGGGAACTAAATGTTGTGAAGGCTTGCAAGCATGAAACAGCAAGTATAATGAATTCTGGAACACTGACAGCTTTCTGTACACATAAGGATGGTTGTGTTACTCTTGATGTACATAACCTCTGTCAGGTTTACTCTGAGAAGGCCACTTGCTTTCTAACAGTGCAGTCCTATAAATACCAACTCAGAAGTCCCATTGAGTTCAAGTGATGCTTAGTCCCAGGTAAGTGGGCATAGGATTGCAGTCAGTAATTGTCAGTCCTGTTAGGACCTGACTGCCCTGTCTAGTGGCAGAATCTCTTTCAACACAAGCAGAGAAACAATTCCAGCTATGAGTCCCTCCTTTTATCACCACTTTAATTATACCCAAAGACTAATCTGCGGACAGGGTTTCTATCAAAATCTCTGTGGAGATCAGCGGTAGGAGGGGAGATGGTCTTTGGAATGATGATCATTAAGGAGCTGCCAACATTTCTGGATAATATATTCTTCTTTAATTTGAGCAGTCTTATTAACTGAGTCTGGAGCCTGTGGATACCTGAACCATCCTTGAGTAAGGCACAAGAGTGACTGAGGCTGCAATCCTATACATGTATATCCAGGACAAAGATCCATCAAATTTACTTCTGAGTAGACATGCACAGGCTAGTGAATGTGTGCATGCATGCATAAATGTACATGTATCCATGGCAATACTTCTCAGATTAATTCTGCAGATGTCAAATATAATGCTGGAATTGACTCATAACTAGGGAGGCCTCAAACTCTGTCGCACCTCTTGATACGTTTTTATCCTTGTCTTTTTCTTTTCGCTTTTCGGTACCCATCATAGCAAATGTGTGATCTTCTTGCCACAATCTTTCTTTTCTTTTGTTTTCTTTTTCCAGATCTACAAATCAACAAAATGTAATGACATGCAACAATCTGGCAGCTGCCCCCGAGGACCCTTCTGTGCCTTTGCACATGTAGAACGTATGTGGCCTTTTCTTTATGTAACAGTAAAATGGTAACTATGGGCAAATGGACCTTCTTTGCAGGCTTAGACAGAAAGCCAACTCCCAAAATAAAACCTTTCTCCTTCCCCCAGCATATCACGCACAAGAATCCAAACAATTATTGCATTGAATGTTATTTTACATATTATATCCCTTCTTTTGGAAAAGACTCTTCAGCCACCAGGTGGTGTTAGTTTCAGTTGTATTTTTGCATGGTGGAAGGGTGATCCAGTGACTTTTAAGGGAACTGCAGATATTTTGAAGTTCTGATTCGTTTACCTGAGGTTGTGAACACACATTTTTTCCTGTGGAGCAAAGGAACAGTTTCTGTACTGTGATATTTGCCCTCACTTCTTCAACACATAAAGTGAGAGTGGGTCAGCGTAAAAGCTTGTTTCTTCCTCTTTAAAAAAAGCTCCCACACAGCCTGGAGAAAAGCAGTTTGTAAAAAAGCAAGCTAATTTTTTGAAATAGCAAGACATCACTCTGCAGGAGTGAATATCCTTTAGAGGGCTTTACAGATGTTGATGGCAACTGGCAGATGATAACTGTTTTCTTCAGACTCTGAAAGTAAATGTATTTAAACCCACAATGCACTTCCAAAATTGCTATAAGTATTTGGGAAGGGGCATAGTTCTGTGTCCTGCATATAATCGAGTCTTTAAGAAAACCCCCAGATGTTGTGGAGTATGTGCTTCTAATGCAGAAAGTCACAGGTTCAGTCCCTGGTATATAACAGATCTTAACTAGCAGTGCTGGGAGGGCCTTCTGGTTGAGAATGAATGCTGATTAGATCAGACAATACTAAGCTAGATGGCTCAGTGATTTGACTTAGTTTAAGACACCATGTGTTTTTTTGAGGTACTATCAAAACTGTAGGTCTATTAGAATATAATTTTTTGTGGTGAAAAATGCAAATCTGTTTACAGTGGGGCCAGACAGGACTGCAATGCTACTTACGTACAGTTCACATTCGCAGCCTCATTTAAATGCCTGTATTCACATTATACAAGGCCAGAGATGGGCAACTTCTAGGCATCAGGGCTTCTGCTGCACCATCAGAATTAGGTAATGTGGTAATAGCAGGAAAAACCTCCTTTAAAAGTAGCATTTTGTAGATTGCTGTCAGTATTTGATGGTGGTGGGGAAAAGGCTCTTTTTAAAGCTGATAATTGCCTACAACTGAATTTGGCAGCAAACTATAAATTTGTTCTTTTAAAAGGAGGCATCTCTTTCATCACTGCTATGGTACCAAATTTTGGCAGCTTCTCTGATTCTCAGCGCCACTGGTTTCTGTGGAAGGCCACAGAAAACTTATAATACAATTCCTGGCCCTATTTCACCCTTAGAACTCCAGCATGTTACTTTATAGAGAACAGTTTTCCAAAATGACTCCAATTGGTACACTTTTGCTAACAGCCTAGCATTTATCAGACTTTTGAACTCAGAGGCATCCATGCAAACTTACTCTGCATTCTGGCTCAGCAGGTGAGCATGCACAGATCCTTTCATGCAGTTGTGTGCGTACAGTCTTCTGCATGCCAAGTTCTGTAGATAGGATACTAATCCCAATACTGGTTGGTGGGTAGAATTAAGGCACTTTCATTCATTGGTATCTAGGCCATATTCTATCATGCAGTTTATCAGCCTTCACCAACAAGGAGCCCTCCAGGCATTTTGGACTTCAGCTTCCATGAGCCCTAGCAAGCATGACTAATGGTCAAGAATACTAAGAGCTGTAGTCAAAATATCTGGAAAGCACCACATTGCAGAAAGTTACATTGGATAATGTTTCAAGCAATTGTCTCAAGTTTCTGTTGAGTTCATATGTAAAGATTTCTTTTTAGGAACTACGCCCCATTAACAATTGTCTTTACAAATGAGGAGCAAGCAGGCAAATTAATATCTTTATTCATAAATGAAAAGCCCTGCTTTATCAAGTCAGAGAGCTGTTGAGGCCAGCATCCTGTTTCTCATGGTGGCTAGTCAGATGCTTATGGGAAGCACAAAAGCAGAACATGAAGGCAATAGCTCTCTCCTGCCTGTGTTTCTTTTCAACTAATATTCAGAAGAACACTGTCTTTGATACCGAAATTGATAGCCATTATTACTGATAGCCATTAATAGTCTTATCCTCCTTGAATTGATCTAATCTTTATTTAACATCATCCAAGTTGGTGTCCATTGCCATAACGTGTGATCATGAATTCCATGGTTAAACTATGCCGTGTATGAAGAAGTACTTCCTTATGTTTGTCTTGAATCTCCCACTATTCCACTTAATGGGATGACTTCAGGTTCTGGTATTCATGGGGAAGGGGGAACTTTTTGACATGTTTTCAATAACATGCATTTTTCTATTCACATCTGTAATGTCCCCCTTTTTTCCTAAGTTAAAAAAAACCTTGATGTAGTCTTTTCTTCTAGTCTCTCCAGCTTCTTGATCATTTTGGCTTCCCTATTTTGCATTTTTCCCAGCTCTACAATATTCTTTTTGAGATGACCCACAAACTAAACATTATTTATTGCAAGTGTGCAATAAGCAATACCTACAATAACACTACACACCATAGATTTCTATAAGGCACTATGGTAACTGGCCTGCAGTTTACTGGATCCCTTTTTAAAGTTGTTGCATTGGCTGCTTTCCAGTCTTCTGGTACAGAAGTCAGTCTTCTTAGGGACAGGTTATATATTTTTGTTAGATCAGCACTTTCACATTTGAGTTCTTTAACATCCTAATTGGATACTCAGTAATATGTTTGTTTTTCAATGGTCAATAAGATTTGGAAGATCACATCTTATGACCACTATTTGCCTTAAATTCCCTTCTTGAATATGTCAGCTGACAAGTAGTTACCATCGAAACCTGGCAATTCAGTATTTTCTATTTTACATTAAGTCCTAGATTTTCATTACTTGTCACTAGAATTTTCCTCATTTGTTCAGATTTCAATCCTGAGAAAAAAGCAATTCAGGCACAGATATATGCCCTACATTTTACAAAATGAAACTGACATGAATTTAGTTGTTACTAGCATATTTAAAGCATTTTTTTATTGCTGGCTTAATATTTTAATAATGTATGCCTCAATATGGGGCAACATTCATTATCGCCTACTTGCATCTCTTCTGCAACTTTATGATCCCTTTTGTCCTCCTCACTTGGGCAAAACTTCCATTTTCTGAAAGAAACCGCCTTGCCTCTATCTCCTCAGCTGCACTTGTTAGGCACCTTGGTATCTTCTTAGACTTGGTTGCACTTTTTCTGATATGTTATATGAATTCTAGCTGGGCTGAGCTCCTAATTTGGTCTTGGGTACTAAATGCTCATTTCATCTTAGCATGTTAATACTGTTTGTTTATTTATTTAAAACATTTGTATGCCGCCAAATTGTGCCACAGCACTGATTAAGTACAAATGGAAAAATATAATTCATATGATACATATGAATGGTTCATTGTCCCACCAATATTCTAGAAAGATTTGATTTCTTTAAAAATTCAATGTTTCTGTGTTAGATTTTCTTGGTAATTACATTTATATTGAATTTGATAGTGCTATTGTCACAGTTTCCATTCAGTTCAACAGCAACAACACTTTCACTAGGTTGAGGGCAGCACATAGGATTAAAGATAGAGTTGCCTCCTCTTTGGTTGTTTCTTTTCAAGAGCACATTTTTTAAGGTTTCTGAGAAATCAACCCATTTTTTTACCAAAATATGCATTCATCCAGTCTACACGAGAGTAATTGAAACTGCTTGTTACAATAGCACTATCTTCTCTGGATGCTTCCTGAATTTCATTTCAAGATCACCCTGGACATTTTTTTCAGGAGAGTGTTAATATGTTCCCAGTTCTAATTTGTTTTGGAGCTTGGTATTACAAGCTATTTGGCAGAGAGGTCTGCCCCTTTTAGAGCTTTTTTAAAAAGGAGATATGCCAATATCAAATGATTGGGTCCTCAGAAAAGTTTTCTGAGAATCATTTAAAAAATATTGTTACTTGAGTAGTACATTTGATAGTGAGGGGAGCAGAACAAGGCACACAAACTGATAGGACCTTACACTGCAGCAAAGTACAGGTGAGTATGGACCCCTGGACAGCACTAGCACATTAGGAGAATATAGAGTTCTATCTAAAACCACGCACAAAGAAACACAAGAAGAAAGCATCTCTCTCTTGAACTCCCTTTTCCCCAAATCAATTTTAGAAAATTGGACAGCGAAGTCCCCCCACATATCATTCTAAGTTAGTGAGGGTGCTTTGCCATGGGACATTCAGCTTATCCAGATCTAGCTGATAAAAAACTAGAGGCTGCACCTGCCTTCAAATCCTGTCCCACCCCACTGTTTCAGAACCACTGTTTCAGCCATTTCTTTTTAGGTAGAGACTGTATCATACGAATTATATTTTTCCATTCGTACTTAATCAGTGCTGTGGCACAATTTGGCGGCATACAAATGTTTTAAATGAATAAATAGTATTAACATGCTAAGATGAAACGAGCATTTAGTACCCAAGACCAAATTCATTATATCTACCATATATAGGGTCATATATGACGACCTTGAAACTGGAAATAGCAAGGCAGAAATTGGGTAGATCATCTTATATGCGTGGTGAAAACATTTTCAGTATACACTAGGATGCCCATATCCATGGGGGATACATTCTAAGCCCCCCAGTGGCTGCCTGAAACCACAGGACCTCTGTGAAAATGAAAAAAGCATGTATATGTCTAATGAAAGCCACAAATATCTCTAGGGACTCTGGGGACATCATGCTCTTTGTCTTGACACTAGCCAGCCTCACCCACATATTTTGCCTCTAGAAATATTCACTTTTTTCCTAGGGAAATATGCATTTATCCCAGCATATAAGAGGACCCTTGAAACTGGAAATAGAAAAGCAAAAATGTGGGGTCATCATCTTATATGCCCAACGTATGACAATCACTAGAAAAACAGCCCAAAATAGTGACCTTGTCTTGTGCACAAGTAGCCTTGTAAGTCAGTATATACAGTAGTATTTTCCCCAAGGGATTTGATTTCTAAATATTCTGGTTCAAATACTGCCCAGGGTAGATAGGGTGTTACAGGATGAAAGGGCTTTATGTCCTCCTTGTGGACTTTTCAGAAGCATCTGACTGGCCTTTATTGGAGGTAGGATGCTGGTGTAGATGCAACATTGAAATAGTCTAGCGGGGCTCTTTTATATTATTTCCTAAGATCATGGTTCTAAGCATGATACTATAATATTTTTTTAAATTGCACGCTTGCTTCTGAATAAATGTGCTCGTGTTTGGAATGCTAGCTAATAATCACAAGCTATTCCTAGTCATTATTGAACATTAGAGATGGAAAATCCCGATCAAAACAGATCTTAGTTCTGCCTCCCATTCTTTGAGCATGTTGTTTTGGGAGAAACTGGTGAGACTCTCTAGGCAGCAAGCTAAACATTTCTCATTCTGTTCTGATGGTTTTTTGCTTCCCCTATGTTGGTTGGTAGATAACTCTGGGTGATCTGCAGCCTGTGGCCGCCAGCTGTAGATTAATGTATACTCTATTCCTACCAGAGCTGTGTGATCCATTTTCTCTTGTCTGCCTACATTGTGTTTTTCTTTGTATTTCTTACAGAACCTCCACTTAGTGAAGAGTTACAACCAACGTCGGCTGTTTCCAGCCCAACGCAAACAGGCCCTGTAATGTATATGCCCTCAGCAGCAGGCGACTCTGTTCCTGTCAGCCCTTCTAGTCCACAAGCCCCAGACCTTAGCAATGTGCGTAGAAGTGTTAAAAAGTTCTTAACCGCTGCACTGTGTAGATGTACACTGGAATCTTCTCTAAATATGAGTGTATTTTGAGCACAGAGTTGGCACCACCTGTCTTAAAGGCTTTGAACTAGGGAAATAGTGTAAATATTTTTCAATAAAGGAGGCAGAAGGGAGGAATGGGAAATAAGTTTCCCTCTGTTTCCTGAGATTTTGAAGGGGTGTAATAGCATGGGCTTAAATCACAACTGCAAACTGGATTAGGCAAGTTGAGTTGCTTTAAATTGACTTGAAGTCATTTCTGAGATGCCAGATGGAGTGGCCTGGGGCTTTTCTCTGAAATGCGAAAGTGATGTAATACTTCCTGCTTAGAATGTGTCCCATTTGGGAAGCATTCTGTATTGATCTGAAAATAACTGCCATTAGGACACTTCTTCAAATCTTTATGTTTGAATTTTCCCTTGTTCTTTTCCCCTCCTAAAACAAGCAGTTCTAAGAACAACATGAGAGGTGCAATCTCTTTATGTAACTATTCTGCCATGTTGTTGTAGTCCTAACCTGAAATGTTTGCTTGTGAATAATAGCAGCTGCTCCTAAATAAATGTTTGGATTTACAACCTTAGAGTTTGTGTTCCCTTAAGCGTTTCTAGTGTTTAATCTGGGATAGTTGCCCTCTGTTTCCATACTATGGTAGCAATAAGCTCTGGTTATTCATCAGCAGAGTCTTACATATTTCTAGTGAATTATATCAAAGTTTAGAGTTAAGACTTTGGGCACAGTCCTATGCATGTTTATACAGAAAATGTTCTACAACTTTCACCATTCCCAAGCCAGAATGACTGTACTCCTAGGGGCAAACTCAAGCCACTACCAAAAGCCAAGTTATAACGCTTTGTGGCCCCTCAGTGCTCCACCCATCCAGTCCACATCCTTTTGTCATCCCAGGGCACATGTTTGTCTGCTTGACTCTGCAAGCAGGATAAAGCATATTTTAAGTATGACTTATACATGATTGAGTAAACCTAAATAATTCCTTGAAGTAAGTAACCCATCTCACATAGTCTGTGTTTGGTTGTGTCCTTGTGATATAGGTATGGAATAAACCAGGAACTCTGCCAACTAGCCCCACGTCCACCACAGTAAGTATCCTAATTGTACCACGGGGAGAGGATAACATACCCAAACATACCCTTTATTAATCAAGTGGAAGGCATCATTGTAGGGTTCTTCCAGCAGTCACTCTTAACTTGAGGTGTCATCTGTGTTGCATTTCAGACTATTATAACAATAAGCAGTGAATCACTAGCAGAACTGAGGTATCAAGTACAGGATTTAGCCTCTTAAGAATCTGAATTTTACAAAACGTTTGTAACTTTTATGGTTGTGAGTATAGGCATAACCATGTTTCAACTTCATTCTAAGCAGAGATTTCCTGACCATTAAACAAAGGAACCATTAAGTGTATTACTCTGTAGATGTTCTTGGTCTCACTTTCACATGTCTGCAATGCTACATCAATGGGATTCTTGACTGTTTCTGTGTATGTAAGAAAATTAGTCCCATGACTTCTGTTAAGCTGGAGGTTGTCTGCCTGAAGTTGGACATAAACACTGGAGAAGTCTCATTTTTCTTATTACTAGGATGTTTTCTATAACCTTTAAAACATTGTCAGGTAAAAATAATGTGGGGTCCGACTTTTAAAGAATACAATCCTGTGCATGTTTAGAGAGAAAACAGCCTTTCAGTTCACAGCATTCTCCAGCCAGCATGCTGTAAGTGTTGACATTGTAAACTACATTGAGTGTTTCCCTTCAGAAAAATGGGGGCTGCATATATTAATTAGTAAATACATGTCTTAACATTGAATGTTTTTAGTTTATATTAAGGAGGAATGAAACACATGATACTTTGAGGACTCTAGCTATGTAGGAGTAGACATAAGGAGCCTTGCTGGGTGAAAATATTCTGCACTATGATCATTGAATGCACCATACATTTTCATTACATTTTCCCCAGCTGTATGGGTTATAAATTATGCTTTGAGTTAAAGAATAGATTTTCAGGATTCTGAAGAAATAACTAGATTTTGCATTAGAAATCCATAGCTCACTGTAAGATTTTAGTGACTGCCAGTCTATAACTCACCTGAGAAAGTGTAGAATACTATATTAACTGAGCAAGAACAATGTGGAGTAGCATGACTCTCTGGGATCAGAATATGGCTATGTTAAAACTGCCTCAACATTTCTGAGGCGTTAAAACAGTTTTTCCTGGAGTAAATGTGCGTACCCTGTTCTTGGTTGACACTGATGAATCTAACAATATTGTTTTTCCTGTCGATAATAGTATAGGCAGAAAGGAACAGGAATTGGTAATAGCACACTAAATGAGATCCTCTGTGAAGTGACCTGTTTTGCTTTTGCTTCTCCTTCTGTTAGATACTCTGTAGAAATAGCAGTCTTGGAAGCCCATCTAATATATGTGGATCCCCTCCTGGTGCCATTGGAAAACCTCATAGCTTGGAAAGCATTGGCTTTTCCTCAGATTCAGTAACTGCAGCCAGTAGTTATAAGAAGGCTCCTGGCTTTGAGCGGGAAGACTTGGTTGGAGCAGAGTACTTAAAGAATTTCAAATGTCAGGTGGGTAGAGAACATGGGAAGGAGGAGACTGAGGGTTAAGCCACCTGGCCATTATGGGTTGTTCATTTGTTGGGCAAGCTGTTCCTCCCAACAGCTGGTCATGTTTGCTTTGGCTCATTTCCTGTATCATTGCCACTCAGACCTCCCACCACTGCAGGCATGTATCTCAGGCACCCTTGTGATAGAACTCCTTATGGCCTCAGCCCCCACATCAGTATCCTTTCTGAAGCTGGTCAGCTGTGATTGCTGGCTACTGAGAGAAGCCCCCCACCCTTCCCATATCAGATCACCAAGTGAAATTTTCAGAACCCTTATGAATGCAAGAAGGTATTTACCAGCTTATTTTGGCAGCAATGTGGGCAGAACTTCACTGTTGTACTAGAGCACAAGGCCTGACTTTCCAGTATTTAACCCAGTTCACTCATACCCCTTTCTTGTCAGATACCCAGGCAATTTCATTCCCCATTTTTGCTGTTGCCTGTTTAAAGGCATTTCATACACTGAAATGCCTTCTGTCTAGCTATGTTTGGCTCCCCACTCCCCTTCATGCTTGCCCCCTTCCATTGCAAGTTCCGCTACATCTTGGATATTTGCAATATTTAAGTGATGAAACAAGGCTCTGTGAAAGGATACAGGAGGACAGTATCTCGTTCCACAAATGAGATTGCAAGGAATGGTGGAGATTTGCCATTCTGGATGGACGGTTCTCTAGCTGTTCCTGACAATCCACAACAAAATTGTCCTGAAAATTTGGACAACCGAAAAAGCCACCATGAATATTGAAAACCCCAGAATAAGGCATGGGTTCTCAGGGTGACTTGCTTTTGAAAAATAAGCCACTCTGCAGGAATTGCAGTAGGATTTCATGATACGACAACCCACCATGGCTGGTTAGCTTGTGTTGTATGAACAGGTTTAAGTGTTAATGATATACTGACTTAGGAGCTGTTACATAGCACTATAATAGTACGTTGATGAAATTCCACGGTACTGGTGAAGCTGGTTCTAGACTAGCATAATTCAAGAGCAACTGGCGTTGTGATGGGTAGATGATCAGGAAACCCAGAGCTAGAATCAGAAGCAACCCTGCCAAATATTTAGCATAACACAGAATCTGCAACCTTCTGCTAAGATAGTTTGGAGATGCCTTTCCTTGTGTCAGAACACCCTTTGTTGGGATTTTGCCTTGACATTTTTCAGAGAATAGCTGGTGTTAGTAATATCTTTCCTAATAATTTACTGCACTTATCACAGTTTTTATATTTGAGCCTACAGGATGCTTCCATATTTACTGCGTTTTCCCTGGTGTTCAGCAGTAGCATAACCAAAGTGCTTGAATGTCAGCCAGTTTAGTTCTATCACCTCTGTGAAACTATATACTTTAAAATGCAAATAATACAGTTTAAATAGATTGTTGGTTCCGAATGTAAGCCATGTCCTACAAATCTGTTTAGGGGAGAGGGCGGGGGATATAAACTAGTTTTAGCTCTGTTGCTAACAAATAGTTGACTTAAATCCAAGTGTCTCAGTTTAATTAGAGTTGTAAATAAGGGTGCTTCATTAGTATTTAATCTAAGAGATGAACTGAGTCTGTAAACCTCAGAATATTTTCTTAGGAATAAGTTTCATTGTGTAGGACTTGATTCGTTTGACAACAAAGCAACCTACAGTTCACCATAGGAATTTGGGTGCTTCTTTGTGTCACCACAAACATTTATTTTTGGGTATTCATTGGCATGGAGAAACATGGTGGTGATTATTGTTGCTACATTGAGTCTTCCCGATAAATCATGTTAGTAAATAAAATAAATGTGTAGATAAGTTAAAGGGAGCTTAATTTATTAGTAGTATTTCCAAAATAGAACTCCCTCCATGTTTCCTCAGATACCCAGTTCTTTCTTATCAAACATAGGTTAAGAAAACTTTCCCAAAAACCTTTTCATTGCTAATCTCATGCATGAGGTCTAGAAAAAAATCACAATCAGGTACAGAGGTTATGGTGAATTCCTATACCTGTTGACTTGGAAAAAACCCCACTCATTTAAATAGAAGTTACACCAAGAAAATATATATAGGATTACAGGCAGCTTTATTCTTCTATATCACCTCTACTAGGAAGCTCCTACACCTTCCCCTCCTTTTATCCCTTGAATATTTTGCTTGCTTTATGGGTGCTAATCTTGCTGTTGGCAGACAATTAGGAGAAAAAGTTCTGCAAGAGTAGAACTCTTGTCGAAAGTTAGCAGTCACCTGCTTCAGATTTATATGCTTGCTTTTCACTTGTGTTTTCCCCACTTTCTCTCTTCTTGTTACTTCAGCCAGCAAAGATAAAATCCCATTCCATGGAACACAGAACCCAAGAACAACCTCTGTTACAGCCCAAACAGGTATGTTACTTCAAATGCTCTGAATCCTGTAACTAGGTGTTCATACCATCTTATCCATAGATTCCAACTGGATCTGTGGAAAGCCAGATGGAGCTTGACTGGATCATGATGCTGTCCTAGGCATTTAAAATTCTAAAATGTGTATCTCCAAGTAAGAATAGACAACTGGTAGGGTAGGTAACATCAGCAGAACTCAATTTAGAATTCTTTATACAGAGATAATTAGGGGGAAATCTATTTAGGCAAATAATTTTGATTTTAGATGCCTGATGGCGTTGTACATGTGGGTCTTGGATGATCTGATGATGATCTGATGCATTAAAGAGGTTCAGATATCCTTCACAAAGCTAAAAGAGGGGCAGACAACTTAGTTACAGGTATATGTTTTTTGGAATAAGGCTGCCATCACTCTTGACTGTTGTAGTCCAAAATATCTGGAGGGCATCAGGGCCCTGACCCTGCACTAGAAAGGTACATTGTTTTATTACTGAATCATAATAAACCCAAGAGCTATCTTAAGTAGCTGGATAGGACATAACTAATATAGAAAAAATAGTACTTGACTGGATGATGCTGAGAATAAATCCTGACAGGTTGGAAAAAAAATGCAATTCTTGAGCAAGCAGTTCCTGGTTTCAATAAGTGGGAAGGCAGCCTGGTCTGGAAGGAGTTGTACTCTGAATGAGCCGATACAGAGCTTGAGGGTACTCCTAGGTCCTGCTTTAGCACTGGAGGCCACAGTAGCAACAGCAGCTAGGAGTGCCTAATTTCAGCTCCTGCTGGTTCACCAGCCACAACTTTTCCTAGGGTGGGGCAACCTGTACACAGTGATTCATGCCATAGTAAACTCTCGCATTGGCTACTGTAATGTGCTCCGCATAGGACTGGAGGCACTTGAAGAGCGCTTAGAGCAGAATGCCACTGTTCAGTTATTAAGTAGTGGACCGAGTGGAAATCTGATTACATCTGTTCTTTGTGTTGTGCATTGGCTACCTGTTAGCTTCTGAGCCTACTTCAAGATACTGAGACTGATTTATAAGAACTTAAAATATTGAGGCCCAAATATTTGGTGATGCCCCCTTCCCAAAGTGAGTCAGCCAAGCTCTTTAGGGGAGGCCCTGCTTGTGGTCTCACCTATGTGCAGTACTTAGTGGTTACCCAAGCCAGGGCCAACTTGGTCATGACACCTCATTATGGAACTCCCTGCTGCTGAAGGCATATTAGGTCATTCAGGGGCTTTGTTTTGTCACTTCCTCAAGACATACCTCTTTTGAGTATTTTTGATGAGAACTTTGAGTCTTTCAGTATTTATTCTCACTGCTGATTTAGTTTCAATGAATAGTTAGTAGTTCTTCATATCTCTGTGCATCACACATCTGGGGTCTGCACCTGCATGGAGTCTGTTGCTGGAAAGAATCAATAGCTAAGAGCATTTTTGGTGGGGAACTCTCCCACACCCCAGCTTCCATATAAAAGGGAGGATTTCCCTCAGTTCTTCTTTGACAGCCTTTGGTGCCGCAGGAAATTGTTTCTCATTTTCCTCTCAGAGCATTTTCCCCTCTTGTCTGTTTTCAGTATATTGCTGAGTGTCTTTTCTCTGCCTACCCATTTTTCTTCCAATCCCTCATGAGTTTTTTTTTCCCTTAACCGCTCCCTTTTTACCTCCCTTCGATACACACGCATGCACCCAAAAAGAAAACCTCTTTGTTTTTTCCCTCTCTGATCCAGCCTACTTAGAATTTTTCCCTTTATTCCCTCTCTTTTTCCTTTCTTTGCTTCACTGATGGCTTTGAAGGAGCCATTCTGCAAGAGTGTGTGCTGAGGAGCCATGCTGCCCCCAACTGCTGGTCACTCAGTGTTTTTATTATGCCTGGGTGATGGTTACATCATGGACCAGTGTCCCCATTGCCAGATGTTCACAAAACAAGACTGAAAACATTGGACAGATTGTCTCTGTGAAGCTTTGTGTAGGGATTCAGGATGGCAGTTCTTGGCATGTACTCTGGGCCACACCAGTCTTTCCAAGACACAGGACGAATGAGGGGAAGGCAGAAGGAGCTTGGAATGTGGGCTTCAAGACTTTGAGATGGGAGAGGAGTTCTGACCTGAAGAATCTGGTATGACTCTTGACCTCATGACAAAGTGTTGGGAAAGAAGGGAATGCCAATTGCAGGATAGGCATATAGAAAGGAGGCAGGTTCGCTTCCAAATGGGCTCTTCAGAAGGGATTTGGCCCAGTCATACTCAGAGAAGGTTTCCAGAAGTAGTTGTTTAGATTGCGTTCAACAAAGTGCTCTGTGCATGCACAGGGATGCATTCTGTGAGGGTTGTGTTTGTTGCATATCCTCTGGTGAATAAAAAACTTTTGCAAAGAAATGGCCTGTTGCCTTGAATGTGCAAAAGGAAGAAAACTTGTCTCGCAACAGCTTGAACAGCTCCACACACATTCCTAACAGTCTGGAACAAGGTCATTCACGTACTTAACTCCTTGGACAGGCCTGAGCTATCTCACCCGTTTATGGTAGCCTCAACAACTTTGCAGAGATCCCTGCCTTCAGCCGCAGCCACTGCACTTTCTGTGGCCCCATCTGTGGCTCTGTTGCCTCCTCCAATTCTGAGAAAGTGGATGAAACTGAAAAAAGACAATGTTGGCCAAGAAGGCCAAAAATGTGAGACTGAAGGACCTCTCAGTCACCAAGGCTACGCAGCGCCAGATGGACTCATGGCTGGTACCAGTCACCTTAGACTAGACTGCACAAGAAGTCACTGCACCAGCACCAAGGCTTCAATCCATATCAGCCTCTGTGTCAGAGGAGGAGATCCAGGAGGCTCCACCTTCTCACACCCCCCCTCCACTGGCCACAGTTTTGAAGGCACCAGCTGTACCATATCTGACTCAGCATCCATTGGAGCTACTTGGTACCAACAACCATAGGAAATGCTCTCTCTCCCCAACCTTGGACTGGGGCAGAAGGTCAGTTTCACCAGCTCTGCAACCCTATCAGGGGGTCTTCGATCCATGGGGTTTTTACCACCAAGGCTCCATGTTTGATCCCCAGTATAGTCCAGTGTACCCTCCCAATGTCTTCAAGGGGTGAGGGCAGTTTGCCAAGCCACCATCATCACCTCACCCCAGACAACTTCACTTCCAGAGTCTTGCATATATCCAAAGCCACCCGCCTTCACCTGGCATGGGTTAAAAGTGCCATCTGTCAGAGTTCACCTAGCCACCATTTCCTTCTTTCACAACATAACCCATCATTCATCCTTTTTTCCCATTCAACGAGTAGTTGTTTCCTGAAGGGATTGAAGAACACTCTCCTGCCCACTCAAATGCTGGCGCCAACTTGGAGCTGGTTGGTCATCCTGCAAGCTCTAGTGCGGAAACACTGGCAGTGGCCACTATTCACCTGCTGCTGTGGAAGGTGGCAACTTTGGTGGCAATTACATCTTCCTGATGTTTCCGTGAACTCTGCACCTTTTGGATAGATCCTCCATACCTTGTCTTCCATCAGGACACAGTGGTTTTGCATCCAGATCCTTTCTTCCTCCCAAAGGTTGTATCTTCTTTTCATTTAAACCAAGACATTGTTTTGCCAGCCTTTTTACCACCCTCATCCAGCCCAGCAGAGTCTGCACTGCATAACCTGGAGGTGCACAGAGTGCTGGCATTCTACTGCTCCAGGAGGAAATCTTTTCATCAATACCCCAATTTTTTTGTGGAGGTGAGGCAAAGACTTTTGACCTGGGTGGTGCAGACAATTTCACTGGCCTGTAAACTGTCATGACTGCAACTCCTGGTGCAACCGGAAGCACACTTGACTCGAGCAGTGGCAACTTTGACAGTGTTGCATGCAGGTATCCCTCTACCAGATCTGGGCAAAGCAGCAACCTGGTCAACACCATCCAACTTTACTGAGCGTTACCATCTTGATGATTGTGCCAGGGCCAGTTGTGTGTTCAGGAGAGTAGTCCTCTCATTGAAACTCCAGTGATGACACCAACCCACTGACTAGGAATGGGTAATGCTAGATGCACAGAGACCACAAAGAGGAAAGGCAGGTTGCTTACCTGTAACTGTCATTCTTTGGGTGGTCATCTGTGCATTCACACAACCCACCCACCTACCTCTCTGGGTGTCATGAGTGACTCAGAAGTCTATTCTTATGTTTCTGTCTGTCTTTTGTCTTTTTTTGGACTGCTTTGATGCATATAAGGTCAGTACTACCAATCCTCCCTCAGTCCCAAGGCCACTGGGCAGTCTTGTTTGAAGGGAGGGATATGGCAGGAATGTCCCTTCTATATGGACCCCGGGATAGGAGAGAGGCTCCCATCAAAATGCTCTTAACTATTCCTGGCAGCAGGCTCCAGCCAGGTGCAGAGCCCATGTGTGCAAATACACAGATGACCACTCAAAGAACGACAGTTACAGATAAGCCACCTGCCTTTTTACAATGTATGCCTTTATTAGCGCTTGGGTTTTTTGTTACTTTTTGTTAGTGAGCCACTAAGTTATAACCAGCTGTATATAATTTGAATAAATACCTAAAATTAATAAATAAATACACATATATAGGGAAGTTAGAAGCATTCACTCTCTTCCCAGTTGTATTATGAATACATATTTACAATGTCCAATCCACTGTTAGACTGGGTGTAGTTCAAGGCTGGAGGCTAGCTCATGCATGTTGCTCTACTGCATGTTTAGAATGAATAAGTACATAAATATGTCTTCCTCTTCCAGGATATACTGGGGATTCTTCCTGTTGGCAGTCCACTGACATCTAGCATCTCCTCTAGTATCACCTCTAGTTTGGCAGCAACACCTCCAAGCCCAGCAGGCACCAGCAGTGTCCCAGGCATGAATGCCAATGCCCTTCCGTTCTACCCAACCAGTGACACAGTAGAGTCTGTGATAGGTAATACTCCCTGTGCACATTTCTTCATGGAGGGTGTGGGAAGGACTCGGGAAATAACAAGCTTTGGGAAATGTTAGACCTAGTTATCTAGCAGAGTTCTTACAGAATCCATGCTTTCCTTCTGTATCAAATGGCTAATATTTTATCTGAGCTCTTTCATTCATCATAATTTTAGTTCTGGAACAGCCAAATGTAAGAGCTCCCTTAGCTAATGGCATGTGATTGTATTAAAATCTGACAAGGGTGAATGGGATGCCATGATTGGCCCTTATTTTGTATGTGTGTGAGGAGAACTTGCTTGCTGTCCTTTACCACAAAACTGGACTAAGGTGCCACTGTGATGAGCTAATCCAGGATTAAAATCTCAGGCATATGACAAGTACAATCTGTGGCTGAGCAACTATTTTCGTCAATATTATGATGAGAAACTCTCCCATCTCTACACATCTAGATCATGTCCATGCACAATTTATGTCTCAAGTGAAAGTTTTAACAGCTCACACATGCTTCTCTTCAAGGGGATGGTATTTTACCATGTCTGAATTTGTAACTTCCCAAGCAGAGTAAGAGTATAGACATCCCTTGTATTTTCTACCCACACACATTTCCTATTTTTAATTATTTTAAAATGGGATAGATAGCCCTGTTTGATTCTGACCTCTTATTCTCTAGGCATCTTCTTTCAATTATTGTTAACTGTTAATGTTCTGTTACAGGCCTGGAATGGTACAAACAAAAGAGACAGTCCTTGTGCCTGAAATAAAAAGATGGAGGAAGGGGAGGAGAACAGGTTTAGCACCAGACTGGGTCCTTGTTTCACTGTGTAATAAGGATTCTACAGTGAATTGCTGTGGAGACTGACAAAGTATTTTAAAAAGTCAAAGGAGATTGACAAAGCCTTTTAAAGTATTTGCGAAAGATGCAAAAAGTAACCTTTTAGGAAGGATGCCAGAGCAGAAGCGTACAGACTTAGGGGAAGGGGTGCATCCATTCTCAATTTATGAAATTGTTTGTAATCTGTTTTGTGACCCCACTTTTCTGAAGTAACATAAATCTCATGAATGTAATGCAAGCCCTAACATTCCTTGTGAGACAACACTAGGTGTAGTGAATTGATGAGGAATAGCGCTGGGGAGATCCTCTGTAGGCTTGCTCCATCTCATCCCCAACCAGCAATGCCCATTCTATATTGCTGGCCTGTTGTTGGCCCAGTGCTGGTTAGAGCCTGCTTGCTAGGATGTACTAATCCACTCCCACCCTGATGCCCCTCACTTAGCTGCCACACTCCCTTCTTTCCACTGCCATGCCTGCACTTCATTCCTACTGCCCATTGCCTCTGTCACTGAATTGCGAACCAATTCACGGATCCACTGTGAAACTCTTAAAAGCCAGAAATTCCAGTCACCCTACATCATACACCCAGGTAGCCTGGTGACTGGGACAGGCACCTGTCATTAAAGCATCTTCGGGTGTACTTTTACCCAACGTCAAGCTGTGCGGCAGGTATGCAGGGTGATCTGTTTGGCATTGCTGTTATTTCTGAGGTCTATGGGAAGAACCTGATACTGCAAAGTTTTTAGAGTTCAAATCAGGCAAAAGGAAGCTATACGAAAAGCTGCCTCATTTAAACAGCTGTTGACTTTTGGCAGCATTGCAAGTGGGGAGCAGGGCCCTGTAGATGCTCCCAGCCAGAGCAGTGGCATCTCTGCATGTAGGCTCTTTGGGCTTCCCTATCCCTTGAAGTTGTTGGTCCTTTTTTGTAATATATAATTGGTGCCTCTGTCTGGCAGAGTCTGCCTTGGATGACCTGGACCTGAACGAATTCGGAGTGGCTGCCCTGGAGAAGACATTTGACAGCAGCTCGGTGCCCCACACGAGTGGCATCATGATAGGTACATGAAAGCAACAGAGCTTTCTTTGATCTTCTGCCAAGCAGGGTTTGCCCCATCAGCTGGCTGAAGCAGCCTAACAAGCTCATAAAACCAGCCCTATAACATTATATGTCAGTTGGCAGCCAATGGGAGACCTTGGAGCAAAGGGGCCCTCATTGGCTAGCGGATTTGAATCCTTCCCATTTTGTCTATTAAAAAGGCATGACTAATTTTGCTTTATAGTACCTTAACAGTGACACATGAAACATTTTCATGAAATTATGACATGAATATTTCACAGAGAAAAATGTTTTAAAATAATGGAAAACAAATTGGATTCATATCACTGTTCTGCTGTCACAGGACCAATGGCAAGACATTATTGCCACACACTGACAAACTACTGCATATGTACCTCATCATCTGTATGTATGTTGTCATTTCAAACCAATGTCCATTTTTCATGTTTCTGGTTGTACAGTTGGAAATAGCCCTTGAAGCCTATTGTAAGAATCCTGTTACTTGTCGACATAGTTTCTTCCTCGTGAACTAAAGCTATATGCAAATGGGTGTGTGCCTGGCTTACTGCTGACACTCACTGTTGTCTGAACCCGTGGTCTCCGAAAGGCACATACTTCGGCCTAAACCTGATCCTCATTGGTGCCAGATGTTGTATGTTGCAGACCGTTGCGGAATGATCTGCAGTGGTCTCCCATCAATGCATAGTTCTGTTTTGCCATGCTCTACCCTCAGTTGCACAAACTAGAATAACTTGCCACCTACCCACAACTTACTGTGTCTGTTGTCTCAGAAATTGGTTCCCTTTTGAAAAGATGGGATTCAGCATGAGAAAACTCTGCGTTGATATTATGCTCATGCTGATCCTGGCTAAAAACAATTTGGAAATGGATGCAGTTTGCAATGCAGACCCCACAAATTAGATATGAATTGGGATGTGGCTTAAATGATCTTTTCACAAGGTGTAGATACAGGCTTGGTTTCCATAAAGTCTACTGCTCATTTTTTTTGGATGGTTATGAAACTGTGCCCCTCAGATGATCGAAAGTGATAGCGGACTTCTTTTTTATCCCTACAAACCTATTCCTCTTACCTCAGACCTTCCTAGTTGGCATAGGACACTTTGCATCAAACCTCTTTTAAGCTAGAATAAGGATGGGGAGTTTTGTGACACACAGGGGTTCCTCCCCAACTCATCCTAAATCTACTCCAGTTTCTGACTCTTTTGCAGGTGTTGTGAATTTTCAAGCTTTTATACAGAGGGGTAGAAACTGAGTTTGTTTTGTTTTTGACAAACTGAGATTCCAATGATTCTGACAAAACTAGCAAATTCCATGTTAGTGAGCCTGATTCCTCTGCTGCGTCATGTAGATTAAACTCTTCTGTTGTTCAAATGGGGAGGTGATTTCCCCTGTTCTCTTTCCTGTTGATCTTGCAGAAATAATTATGGTGTTGAAATTTAGTGATCTGATCTATTAGAGCATTGTCATCATTAAGAGTGTAAGTTGTTTACACGCTTATTAAAATGAAAGTTGTATTCGGCCACATTGAATTTATAGCTTCTTCACTAAAAGTGTCTTTGCATATTGAGAGACTGCCCCATTTGCTGCTGCTTAAATGGCATTTAAGAAAATGCTTTTATCCCTGATCCTGGGTAAGAGGTGTTGGAACTTGTGAGAATACATTTGGCAGGATATGTAATATGGGCTGGGGAGAACCATTTTTAATTCAGATTATGCAGTTGCTTCTGTCATATGATCTGATTGATAGATGTTTTCCTGTTCCTATGAAAAGGAAGATGCCCATTATCGCTATCAGTAGTCACTTTTTGCCATGAAGGAATATAACCACTTGCACTCGCAACTTCATTTAAACATGCATAAAATGGATTAGTGTTATGTCATTGTGAAAATATAGGCAATAGAAAGCAGCTATCCAAAGGTCCCTTGCAATAATTTGTTACACTATGAAGGGTCCCTTGTTTCCTAACGCACAATTGAGTCTGTCCCTAATGTCCTGTTTACTCAGTTAGTAACCAACAGTGTTGCTAGTCCATCTTCCCTGGCTAAAGGGACATTTCCCATTACGCTCCTTCTGAAGGTAAAGAGAGCTGTAAAGTAGAGGAAGACCCTGGACCCCACCCCCTCCTTTTACTGGTGCAGAGAGTGAAGCAAACACCTGCTGTTCAAATTCCTGTGCTGTGCTTCCACTCATAACTCATGGCTTCTACATTCCCATCCTTTCTGTGTGTTCTTTGTCCAGGTGGGAGTTTGCTGCAAAGTTCTGCTCCTGTAAATATCCCAGGGTCCCTTGGAAGTTCTGCCTCCTTTCACTCTGCCTCTCCTTCTCCACCGGTCAGCTTATCATCGCATTTCCTCCATCAGCCCCAGGGACACTTAAGCCAATCAGAAAACACGTTCCTGGGGACATCAGCTTCTCATGGATCATTAGGTAAATGCCCAGTATATATGTGAGAGCATGCATGTTAACATGTACATACCCGTCTATATACCATGTAAGTATTTTCCTTTATATCTTAGCTTTCATTTGAGTGTCTGCATTCTCCGTTGCCACCTAACATATACCTTAGCCCAGTGACCATAAGATGAAGAAGGGCTCACTGTGCCTAAGACATTCCCAGAAAGATTATCCTCATATAGCAAGAGAAGAATACTAATATATCAAAGAGACAGTGCAGCAAAATCCATTTGGATAAGTTGAGTAAAGTGTCACATAGCTGATTTGCGGGAAGCCCTCAGAGTTCTAGTATTTCAGTGAATTAAATTCCAGAGGTGCAAGGAAGTCCTATGACTTCAGTTCTGCAAGGGCAATGTTTCTGTAGTAAGAAGAAGAAAGAAAACAGCCTGAGGGCCATAGCTCAGCAGTAAAGGCAGGAGGCCCCAGTCTCAATTTCTAGCCTCTTTAAGAAAGAAAGATTCTGGAGACCTACTGCCAATCAGTGAGGATAGTACTGAGCCCTTAGACTAATTGTGAAGCAATTTCTTAAGTTCATAATGAAACATTGCCACAGGAGAGTACTGAGTGTCTATTAACAAGCATATCGACAATTATAGGAAAATGTACAAATCTGTTATGCCAGTTTCTGCTGCGTTTGGAGTATTTTTCTTTTGCAGGGAGAGACCTGTTAGTCACACCTATTAGATGCTAACTAATCAACATGGACCTAAAAACCAGCTGTTTCAAGACTATTTTAAGCTAAATGGTTAATTTGCATCTAATAGGCTCCAAACAAATCTTGATGCTTAAAGTATAACAAGGGCTCAGTAGCCCCTGTATATCCAAGTAGACCAAAGTGGAATGATCGTGTCTTTGAACAGCAATAATAGAGCACCTTTGAATCTATTCAGGGCGCCTTTTCTCGGTACTCTATAATGCCACAACTGGGTCTCTTCACTGCCAAGAGTAGCAAGTAAGACTTTCTACACCAGAGAACAGGATATCCAGGGATATTTTTCATTTCCAGAAATCCTGCCCTGGTTGCTAGTTTTAAAGCCTCATCAGCCCTGCTTTAGAATGCTTACATCAATAGTTGCCTGTTTGATAAAGAGAGGAAAGCATTTTTCAGCTGCTTAGAAGCATTCATGCTTTATTCTTATTTCATATGTTTCAGGACTGAGCTTTAAGATCAGGTCCCAGGTCAAGTGTTGGAAGGAAGCCCTGATAATGCTAATGCATTTTAGCCGTCTGTGAAGTAGTTTCAGTACCTAAATAGAGGCACATAGAAATGCGCTACTGCTTTTTGACACTTAGTACTACTTTGTTTTGTGTGCTGTCTGTGCTGGGCAGAAAGGAGATGGGTGGATGTTTGGCCTTCTGCATTCTGGACCTTTCACCATGCTGGCCATTTTTTAAGCCAAAACATTTGGAGAGGTACCTTCTGTCCACCCCTTCTGGGCAGCATAAAATGGTTACTAGGCAACATGCATATGACAGACAAGAAAAGAGAAGATGGGGAATAATGAAGGAGCAGGGCAGAATGTTTGGAAAGACTAAAAACTAGGATTAGTTTTCATGTGTTTAATAACATTTGTCTGTTGCACCTGTAGAATCACCCGCTTTGTGCAAAAGAAATCCATGGTCCATACATCAACGGCCTTTTCAGATTCATGTTAAATACTTTAAGAGTACAGTTCGCACACTTGCCAGCCAGGGGTGCTGCTCACAAGGTGGTGGAGCCAGTGCATGCACTCCAGTGAACTTGGCTTTTTTGGACCGTAACTGTGGAGTGTACATTCCCAAGATAGATAAACAATCATGCAAATGGTACACAAGCTGCGTGTTTTGTTTGTTTGTTTGTTCTTCGTAGAGATTTATGCCCCAACTGTCCCAAGTTCCCAGACATTTTACAGTGCCTGGTTTCTGCATCTCCTGCCCAATTTGGACAGTCTGCTTCCTGCTCAAAAGGCATTCAGGCATACCTGTGCTTTGCTCTCCTCACCCATGACCACAGGTGTACAGGATCTCCAGCCTGTGAGCACATGAGCCAGTCCTATTGAACAGAAACAATAAAGCTGCTTCCTTACATGCTTTTACCAGGGAGCAACCTCTCTTGAACTTAACGGCTCTTCTGAACAGACATATAGGATTGCAGTGAAAAATCAGTGGTTCTTGCTAGGCTAGCAATCATTGGGAAATGGATTTTCATGAGCAATTTCGGTATTTAGTCTTATATAAAAATGTACCTTGTATAGTTATCAACAACAATCCCAGCACTAATGTGATAGCAGATGACGGTTGTAAAAGGCTGAGTGTTGGCATTCTAAGAAGCAGATTCTGTTTTTATAAACTATGTAAAACTTTTATGGGTTGGACCCACTTTTGTAGGCATGTGTATCCCTGACTTGGTTCTTCTGCTCTGGCCACATTTATTACAAAGGTATGACAGGAATTGGTATGAGATCATGTTAGCTTCTTTAAAATGCACCATAAAGACAAGTGACTAGTGCCTTGTGCCTTGACCTAGCAGGCAAAACCAAATTGTGATCTAAAGATGGGGATTTTTGTTTTTTTAAATAAAGACACAGGTTTTACAGGGGGCATTTTAGGTTTTCCTAGAAAATGCCAAACCTTAACTGAGCATATTTTTTTGGAAAAATTCCTCCTGGATGATAAAAGAAGCAGAACCTGCTGCTCTGCCTATATCTTCCCTGTAGATCTTCTTGTTTCCTAAATGCAAAAACCTTTTTGCACGATTTTATTTTTCTGTGTGACCCCTGACAGAAAGCAGGAGCAGGGACTGTAGATTATTCAGTTGATTTTTTAAAAAAATTGAGATGGCAAGATGCTCTGGCAAGGTGGATCAGATCCATTTTATATAATATCTCTGCAACTCCTGTTTTGCCTGTGGATAGATATATACTGGAAGGAAATGCAGACAGCCCCTGGTCTCCATGGAATGCAGCTGTATGATGCCAGTTCCCCATCCCAGGGCATGTTTTCTGCACTCAAATTTTACTTGTTAAGTGGATGTTTTTAAATGAACTGTGTGCCTTTATTGCCCTAGCATTAGATTGCTGCTTTTTTTTAAGAGCTGAGCCACACGAAGTTGCTCTAATGTGCTAAGCTGATCCCTCAAAGCCTGAGTTAAATAATTTTTTAAGAAGACTCTAGCTGTGTACTCTGACAGCCTCCCCTCCGTATGGTGTCCTCCAGATGTGTTAAACTACAACTTTGATCATTCGCAGCCAGCAAGATCTTGGCTGCTCTGAACTATCAAAGATTAGTTTGCACCAAATAACCTAACACAATTGAAATGGAGCCCACCATAATAGGTTTCAGAGCATTTAGATAATCACAGACAGGGGCTTGGATTTGATAAAAATGAAGGGACTGTGAAATGTCTTTCCAGAAGGAACCACGTGAGGATAAATCCCAATTATACCAACATGCTCTGACCAGTGAAATAAGGACAACTCTTGTAAAGTGTCTATACATGGTATGCTGCATAATCAAGCCTATGCCTATACTGATAATTTCCTGCACATCTGTTTCAAGTGTCTCAAATCTGTCCGGAATGTCACAATCTGTCTCAGCTGTGCTGTGATTCATGCCTAACTTGCGGGGTTCTGCATTGTGCGGTGCATCTCTCCTGCATCTGTCTAAACTGGATTCAGTACCAAGTGCTCAGGAACACTGTTGGCATCAGGATGCCCATATGTCATAACTTTTCAAACAGGGAACATTGATCTTGCTGCCATTCCTCCTGCTTAAGCCAAAGTGGCAAACCAACAGGGCAAGTACATGCATGTCTTTCTCCAGATGCATCATTGCTCTGTAGTACTGGGGAAGGAAAAGGGGTAAACCAGTAATATGTGTGACGTAACATTTTTTTTTCTTTCTCTTTCTGCATGAAACAGGCTTAAATGGAATGAACAGCAGCATATGGGAGCACTTTGCTTCTGGAAGTTTTTCCCCCAGTACCTCGCCTGCATTTCTGTCAGGTCCAGGTGCTGCTGAGCTGGCCAGGTTGCGGCAAGAATTAGATGAAGCGAACAGCACGATCAAACAGTGGGAGGAATCTTGGAAACAAGCTAAACAGGTAGTGTGTGCTGGCAGGAGCGTTGCTTGCCAGGATACTGGTGGCCATGGAAGTCCATCTCAGAGCCCAAGATAACAAGCAGAGGCAGAGCTCTAAGCGATGCTCCTGGGTAATCTCTTCACAGTCGTGCATTTTTCTTTCGCCCTGTGGGAGCACTGCTTACTCGAGGATAAAGAAACAGATGGGTATTGTTGCTATGATGAGGACCGCACTGAAATTTGAGTCGAACATTTCCAAACCTTTTGTGCATCCCTTAGGGTCATGAAGTCTATGAGCATTTGCTTTTTCAGTTGGTTTTTGGTGGATCTTTCTAATTGTTCATCCTGTTTGCACTATGTTCTAGTTCCCCTGTAACTAGCAAGGTTCTCGTTTCCCTGAGATTGAGCAGCCATGATGTGGTGGAGTGGTAAGCCCCTGGCCTTTTGAATTCAAGCTGCCTTTTAAATTGGCAGCTGGCATACAGCTCCCCCTGGGGAAATGCATTTTGTCTCTCAGACAGATTGGCTCACCTGTCTGGGTGTAGATGCATGCTTGTTGACCAAGGAGTCCCTTAATTAGATCAAGATGGTGTTTAGTACATTGTTCTTTGAGCTGGCAGGGCAGTCTGCTCTGTTAGGCACTTTGCTCCTGTTTCTTCTCATGGCGCCTCATTGGGATAATCTGAAGGGGCTTCATGGTTCAGTGCGTATGCCTATACTAGATAACCTTGGCATCGTATGCAGTTAGTGCGCACACAATTATGTCATTAGCTTGTGGGACGTGTTGACAAAATATTTATATTACAGCTCTAGGAAAGAGAAAAGAAGCCAACAGAGTGACCAGAACTGAAGGAGCCTGCTTTCTGTGCCCAGGGAACAATATACTAAAACAACCCATGTGACTATACCTTGAAAGTCCAGTGGCACCTTGGCCCATGAACTAAATCCGTTCCACGATGCTGGTTGTGGCCCAAATTGGTTGTGACTCAAGTCAAATTTCCCCATAAGTTTCAATGTAAATAAGGTGAATCCGTTCCATAATTATTTTTTTAATCAAAAATTTTGAAACGAAGTGACAAAGAGCAACAAAGTAACAAAGTACTGTACAGAACAGTGGAGAACACTAACTTAGGTGGGGGGAGGATTATTGTTTTGAGGGAGAGTCACCTCCAGAAGGACATTGGGGAGGTCTCTTTCAGGTGTTTCCTCTCTTTGTCTCTTAGCTGCAGGGTCAGTTTTGGTGAAAAATCTGTCTATAGTCACTTGGTTTTTCCTGCGCTGCATAACCCTCCGGAAATGAGAGCCCACGTTATCATTCATCAGATTCAACACTCTGTTCGTTACATTTATGTTGGGATGGTGCTTCTCAAAGAAACCCTGGCATGGGCGTGCTCCTGCAGGAAAGACAGGCGCAATCCCGGCCATCTCCCCCCACAACCAGCACGATCGCAGCCATCTCCCCGCCCCCCACACCAAAGTGGGGAGATGGCCAAGATCGCAGTTGTGTTTGTGCAGGAAAGACAGGCACAGCACAGCCGTGATTACGCATGTGTTCCCTGCACGAACGCAGCTGCGATCCTGGCCATCTCCCCACTTTGGTGCGGGGCGGGGGGGGGGGGAGATGGCTGCGATCTTGGTCGCCACCCAAAGCGGAGTTCATGACCCAAGTCAAAATTTTCATGAAATTTTTGTTCGTGACCCAGGGCGTTCGTGACCCAAGGTGCCACTGTAGATATGTGGTAAAATCCATGATATATCTTGTCCTCTTGCCAATAGCTGTGCCCACAATATGCTTATTTTTCACTTGACTGAAGAGTGTGTATATATAAATAAGCTGGTCCATGTACAAGCCATTTAAAATGATGGTTCAGCAACTGCTGAAGTGAGGATGTAGCCAAGAGACAGGCATCTCCTCACCCAACGCCTCAACAGACAGAAATAGCTTGTTTCCCCTCACATGATCCTGTTGAAATAAGCAAAATGCTTATGGTAGTTTTCTTGCTTTGCAATGCACAGGCTTGTGATGCTTGGAAGAAAGAAGCAGAAGAAGCTAATGATCGCGCCAATACAGCAACCATTGAATGTGAGCTAGCCCGAGACCAGCGGGAAGCCTTGGAGTTGCAGGTCAAGAAACTTCAAGAGGAAATTGAAAGGATCCACACTGGCCAGGACCCCCAGTTTCTGCGTTCACTCTCAGATCTAGAGACCCTTTCCCTCTCCACACTTTATAACCTCCAAAAACAGCTGCGTGCCAACCTAGAAAGAGTTGATAAGGTGGGTTTTACTGCGACCTTGTCCCACACACAACGTAGTGTATTTCCTATCTTACATCCCAAACAAAAGTGAAGTTGAGACAAGTCTGAGCCCCTGTTAAACATGGAAACCATTGTCAGCCAACCCTGAAAAGTTACTTTTTTTCCATGTGGGGAGAGCGGTCTCCCTGAGCATGGTCCTCCCTGCTAGAAGGCAGGGCTCTCAGCCTAGGATGATGACTGTACCTGCGAGCAAGACTCATCTGCAGCAGCTACACTGGGGCTTGCATCACGCACTAGCGCAACACTCACGCCCGTCTCCCACCTGGTCCTTACGGTGGGGAGAGAGTGCAGCAGGAGGAAAGATGGACTTGGCAACTTCTGTGGGTCCCCACATTACCTTGTTGGCATGCGAAATGGAAAATAGCTTGAGTAACTACCTCAGCTCCCTCCTACACACTCACGGGCTTCTTCTTGTTGCACTGACAGTCTCCCCTGCTTTCTCCCACCCTCCCCGCTCTTTTTCAGGCAGTGTTCCAGATGCAGTCGGTGAAATGCCTCAAGTGCCAGGAAGAAAACCGGGTGGTACTACCGTGCCAACACACTGTGCTGTGTGAGACGTGCGCTGAGGAGGGTGAATGCCCCATCTGCCATCCCAACAGGCCACATGCTCTCCAGTCGTGACCCTACTAGGACACTGGGTTTAGCATATCACATAGAACTTTTTAACTTTATATATATATATATATATATATATATATAAAATATAATATGAATATATATATGAACATATATATATATATACACACATAAAAACAAGATTAGTTGCAGAGCACTTTTTAATACTTTGCATCTCCCATTTAAAGGGTTCCTCCTCCCTCACCCAAGTCCCTACTAATTCTAACTCCTTAGGGACTTTTAGAGCTGTTTTTAATATAGATCAAAGGGCCATTTGCAGAGTCTGTTTCCTTCTCCCCACCCTCTTTTTTCTATTAGGGTGTAACTTTTTTTTTAGTCTTTTCTGGAGAGAGATTTAGAAAGGAGGGTGAAGAGGGGCTTGCAAGTGCTTTCCAAGGTGATGACTGGACTCGTGGGGAGAAGAAAGATGGAAATCAAATTTCTGAGTATGTCTTCATCCCTTCTCCTGCCTGTTGCCTCTTGCATTGTCATCTTTTAATACTTTGAAATTGCCAGACATACATTTGACCCAGTAGCAGAAGCCCCTCTGCACTCGACTGCCTGTTCAGAGCTTCACTCATTTGGAACTCTTGTTGGCCTCCAATATTTGTGAGGGACTTGACTTGTCTGTTTTGTTTTGTTTTGTTTTGTTTTGTTTGAGGGGGGATTCGCTCTTTAAAGGCTTTTATGTCCCTCAAGGTTTTTACCAAAACAACAAAAAGGATTGACACTGAAAACAAACCAGTGAGGCCTGGCCATTGGCTGTGATAATTTTCTTATAAGCGTTACTCATCAGTGAATGTTAGGGGAACCTTTTCAAGACTTCAGTAGCACTGCCAGGTGGAACTTCGTAAAAACAAAAGTTTGGATTAGGTGGTTTTTATTGTCTTGGCAAGGAACTGTGCTTCAGAACCATGGGTAATAGACATGGAAGGCACCCTGGGTGGTAGGTATAGGTAAAGAAGTGAAGCAGTGGGAGCACCTTTGGAACAGTCTGCTTTCTTATCACTTGCTACTGGATTTCCATAGAACTTGCTTTCAGTGATAATTAAATGGAGGCACATAGAACCTTTGTGGCTTTTTAGTTCACTTAATACGGGCCTCCATAACTTGTGACCCACCAACCAAATGTTGCCCACCAGTCAAATATGGTGGCCCCTTGTGGCCAAATAACCCACCTGCTTTTTTTCTGACTGCCTGGGACTGTAGCAGTGGGGTGTTTTCGATAAGCATCTGACCACAGCCTACAACAGACAATGGATGGGCTGCATTTGGCACAGCCTATCTAAAGTTGTTCAGTAATGGACTAATAGTTGTTAATGAGAAGAAACTCCCCCTCAAAAGGAATACATCCTTTGGCTTGTTGTTCCCTTCCCGTTCATGATACTGTTACTAGTAATGTGGCAAGGAGCAACATGCACTCTGTATCCGTGGTCTGGAGGACAAAGCAGCCCTTTGCTTTGTGTGCTAGGAAAAGCTGAAAATCCAGCCCTGTGCGGAGCAGTGTCATCTGCTTGCCCAGTGCAGCGCTTGGCGTTGCTGCCCACGCTGCACGCTAACACAGACGTGGAGGTTATACGATGTGCTAGAGAAGAAGGGATCCTGTGCAGGGGTTCACGTTGCATCTATTTATTAAGCTGCCAAGAATTCCCTTCTCTTTGAGACGTATTCTTCTCCCCACTTCGTCACATGGTTAAGACCATGATACACTTTGCTAAAGTTTACATAGCATACTTGTGGATTGGGGAGTTGCATACTGTTTTGAAATTGGGATTCCCTTGACCTGTAATTTCTGCTGACTATCAGAGAGATTTTTAGAGATTTATATACCACTTAGTGATATTTTAAAACATATTCAGCAGTATATAAATTTATTATATTAAATTAAATAATAAATATTAGTAGAGAGATTGTGGGGAAAATATATCTAAAATCACAACCAAAATGAAGAAGAAGATTCAGGGACCCTTATTTTCAAATGGCTCCAGTGCAAGAGTCTGATTCCTAATGAGCATAACTGGGAACAGGCAACACCTAGAAGTGAAAGATGTAAGAAGGCAGAGGAGTGGGATAAAACTGACTAAAATTCTAGGATGCTAGAATGCTCTCTTTTGAAAGATTAAGTAGCCAGTTATGTGTCAAGGAGACTTATTTTCCTAGCCATTTAGCATTCTTCTGAAAGACTGGTAGTAAATGCCATGAGGCCACCCTTGAAGTGCCCTATGTAGGCAGAAAGGGGAGGGGTACTGAGTGTGTTTCATTTCAGAAATACATTCCTTTTCCTTGTGATTAGGGCCATTTTTCCATGTTCTTGCATGTTCTGAACTTTCCCTGAGCATCTTTCTGCACAGGATGGTCTTTAGAGATCGTGTTGTCCATCCTGTGCCTCTGATCCAGGCATCCCTCACCTGCTTATGACTAGCCTGCAGCAGATGGGAGCTGCACCAAGCCTGACTGGAACACCCAGTGTTTGCACAGCCCTGGGAGTGACTCCTAAGGAGCAGAGGGGGCTTGACTCCCATGCTTCTGCTTTAGCACTAAACACCAAGCTGATCAGGGGGACGTTTTCCATGCAGAGGTGACTCCCTTACTGCCCCCTCTTACCAAATAGCATGTGTTTGTCCCCTTGGGTTGGCAGCACAGTCAGCTCCCTTGACTGCAAATTCTTATGTTTCTATGGGTACCTGCCAGCAGAGAACTTTGATGACGATGGTGAATATCCTCCCAAGACGACCAAAAGAACTATTAATACATTCCTCTTACACTGGACATGCACTTAATAGAAAACTGCATGTAACAGATAAAATTATGTGATCACTCCTCATAGACAGCAATGCTTGCTACTTATTTGGCTCACCTCTTACTAGTCAGCCAGTCACAGAAATGCATAGGTTTGCCTTTTTATGAGAGTAGATGGGCAGTAACCTGTTTGGGATTCAAGCAACAGACAGCTGGATTATTAGAAGTAATACCAGTTTATTTCTTGTGTTTTGTGGGCCAGCATGAGTTAGGTTTCCAAGCTCTGAGCAGAACTTCCTTAAACCAATTTAAAAGGAAAGAGCACTCCTGAGCATGTTTACTCAGATGTAAGTTCCCCTGAACTTAGTAGGACTTCCTAGCAAATGTGCTTAGGGTTGCAGCTTCATCCAGTAAGTCCCTTTAAGGAACAATATTGCACTCTCCCCAAGAGTGCCTTAAAGCAGAGGGGTATAGTCCCTGATCATGCGTTAAATTTTGATTATGTGTCACATTTCTAAAAATTTATATTGGAGCCTAAATCTAGCTGATCTTCAGTGAAACTTGTGGCTTGGGATACATTTCTTTTTAAGTTGTCCTGCAGTTCCTGGGCGGTAGAACTCCCCACTGCAGTTTGTCTTGACTTGTTCAAAGATTGCAACAACCTCTAGTCAATAAAAAACAGCAGTCCAGTCCAGGACTCTAATCTGTCATTTTGTACTGGGAGTTTAACATGTAAAAGTATGATATTTAGAACTATAGTATCACTCCCTTGCTGATCAGTCTCTGCTTTCTTTAGTTCACCCACCTTTTCCCCGTTCTGAAAAAAACACTGGAAACTCTAGCAATCCTTGTTTTTCCTAAGAGTAATCCAGCTTTCCACTATCAGGTTTTTCCTCCAAAGTGTTTTCATATTCAATGCAAGTACATGATTAGATTGCTTTCATAATTCCACCCTTCCATATTTGGCAGGGTTAATATGCATTCCCAGATGATCTCAAAGTGCAGCTCTGTTTAGTTTTTTTTTATTAACTTTTATGTTTGGTAAAACTGCTTTTTCAATGTGTATATTGTACTAGTATCTGTTTATTTGTTTTTTTTTTTAAAGAACACCTAATCGGAGCTTTTTTTTATGGAGAGACACTGCTGGCTGACTCTTGTGGTTGTGTTGTTTTTGGTTGTAGCCTTTGAATGTCTGTGCCATGGGGTATACCTGGTCTCGAAGGCCAGCAAACATGCCTCAGTCTTAAGGAAAGTTTGTTTGTTGAAAACATGTGAACATTTTTAAACACACACACACACACTCACTTAAATTATGGGGGAGTAATATTCTGATGAAAATGTACTAAACTATTTTGGTAACTAATTTAAAGATCATAGGAAATAAACTCTTTGAATCGGGTCTACAGTGTTTATACAAAACTGCAGCCATTTTCAGGCTTTTTGGTGGTGACTGGTTTGTAACACTTAGTTTTGTAAACATGGTGTTTTATTGCTTCCTGCTTTTCTATGTGATTGTCCATAGTGTGATGATAACTTTGTGGGACAATTTGGTTTTGTCCTGAACTGCTACAGCTTTGTGTAATTCCAACTGATTCTTACAGTAGGGTTTAGATGTGTCACATGTCTCCTCAAGTGTCACTTAGAAGTAGTTTGTCCTATTTTTAAGACCTGGCTACTTTACAGAATCTTGCTAGCAATCAGATTCCTCTTCCTCTCGTCCAACATCCATTGGCAAATTGCTTTGTTGGTGCGACATGTGAAAGAAACTGTACAAGGAGGCAAAAGCCTGTTTACATGCAGTGCCACAACCCAATCTGTCTGTCCGTTTAATTGTGAAGGACCAAAGAATCTAAACTGGGATCAAAAATTCCCCCAACCCCACAAATTCCTGACTGCTCCCTTTCCAATTATGGTTTTTTTTTTTCTTCTCTGCCTCATCTCTGTCAGTGTAAACTTTAGGCAAGAGGATGTAGCAGCAGGCTGGTTTTATCCACAGTTGGGAATTGTAGAAGTACCTGCTTCTCTTTCCCACTCTTTAGCTCTTTAAGAAGCACTTTTTAAAAGAAAGAATCCTAGATTTCTATGAATTTTAATATTAAAATGAAATACCAGAAATGTGAATGCTTTGTTAGGTACCAAATGGAAAAGCAAAACTGATCTCTCCATTTGTTTTGTAAAGAATTAACTTTGGATTAAGTTTCTGTATAGGCAATTTTGTTTACTGGGATGGGGTGGGATGAACCATGAATGAGAAGAAATATACATTTTTTACAAAGAAAATCTCAATTCTGCCAGCAGTTGCTATCTTATATAGTATCTGCTCAGTACTGCTTTGTTTTTTGTTTTCAAGACCAAGGGGATTCTGTGATTGGCATTTGTTTAAAGCTAAATTGCAATCAATATGGTGCTAGAGCAAATCATCCCTAATGGATTGCCCAAGGAATTGTGTTTGGATTATGAAAGTCCACACACTATTAACAGAATAATTCCTTTGACTCCCATCTCTGCCCTTGTGTGCACAGGCCTAATTAGAAAATGGATGGTTTTCCCACCCCAAAAGTCTTAAGGCCTTGGGAAGCCTATGACTCCTTTTATCTGACTGGCAATTTTCTTCTCACTCTGGCTGTGGGAGAAGGTGATATTATATTGGCAAAATCTACAGCAGTCAAAAAGGCAAGTAAGCCTTTGCCTTACATGGAGGCAGAGGTTCATCATTAGCTGAAGAATGTGTATGGAAGCTTGTGTTAAAAATTACCTGTTCCATGTACCTTTCTTTCAAGATGAATGACTTTGTGGGGCTGAGGAATGTCCACATATTGGGGTAGAGAGCCAAGTAACTTCAGAGCCTGGAGGGTGCCAAGCCATGCTCCCTTTCTGAAACACTCCCTTTCACACAGCAGAAAGCAATACCTCGCCATTCTTGTTCTAGGGAATTGCCTCTTTGCAGCACATGCAGGCTGCATTATAACACCATAGCTTAGTGTTATAGACAAGTGCAGTGAGCACTGATGCTCTGTGTTCCCTTCTCCTCACCCTCCAGCATAAATCAATAGAAGGAATGTTAGTTTTCACTCCTGTTTTAGATTAAGCACAGGTTGTCCAAATTTGAACAAATCAGATAATTAAGGTTACTATAGCAAGCTGACAGCAAACCATAGTTAAGTTAAACTGCAGTTTATGATTGGAACCTTATACTTAACTGGTCAATCTAAAATGGAAGTGACACTTTTGACACTTTCCTCATAGCATTGTCGTAGGAGGAGAGAAGCACATGAACCTGATGCTTACTGTAGGTCCTTCTTGTAATGTTAAAACATGGCTTACCATACCATGGGAACCTCACGCAGAGTCCTTGCAACTATTATTCAACACGGGAAATTTTATTTTTCTTTTTGACTTTCCATAAGTCTCAAAGCATAACCTGAGCCACTTCAAGGGCTGGCACAGCTCAGACAAATGAAGATTTTTTTTTCCTAATAAGGAATAACATAAGCCTCAACAGTTTATTGCTGTTCCACTAGAGAGGACCTTCCCTGATTGTTTCCTCCTCTGAAAAAGAAAAGTATTTATTACTAGTGTGGGGTGGTTGTTTTTTCTCTTTTGTTTGTTTTTTTTTTTTTAATTCTCCTCTGGGATTTTATCAGCCTTTGGAGCAATGCAACGGGAAATAGATGTTGCTGGTGAAAAGTATTATAAGTGAAGTATTCTGCAAAATGGTGACTGTGGATCAAAGATCTCTATGGGGCTTCCCCACTCTGTAGCTTCCAGTGTTTTAAAGAAAAAAAGTAAATACATACAATATAAATTCTTAAAACTGCACACTACAGTATTTATGGTGGCAATTCTTGACCAGACTCTCTCCTTGGATTTTCCTAGGCAGGGGGGGTGGCTGGAGCAGGGAGTCACTCAAGTCTGTGTAGAAATCAGCCAAAAGATAATAGGTGGTGTGTACAATGTGGTGTTTGATTCCATTATTATAGACTGTAATGCAGAACTGTGATTTCAGCTGTTGTTCTTTCTCGTATTCTGTATATATGTGTGTTTGGCTGTCCAGAAACCTGGTTTTAGACACTCTTTCTTGGCAAAGTGGATTTGCATGTGGAGCTAAAAAAAATGCAATCTTGTGTCACAATTTCCAAAGGCAGGATGGATTTTCTAGAAGACAATAAATTTTTTTATTTTTTTGCTAAGAAAAAAAGGCAGCAGTTCTGTGTGTGCCTATGTATATGTGTTGGAGTACTGTACTTGTGATGTCATGTGACTCTTCAGACTGCCATTAATTTCTGCTTGGAAGCTAGGAAGGTAATGGGCAGAAAAACTACTAATTCCTGCTGTAGGATGCATTCCACTGGGAACATTTCCTGTCCAAGCTCCATGGAAGTGAATGGAAAACAAGCTTCAGAATAATGAAATGAACACCCCCTTTTTCTCAGGGTGCTTGTCTCTCTTAGTGGATTGTGTCCAGCAATGCCACATACCACATCAGTTTCATTTCCTGATAATATGGAAAAAGTTATATATTCGAAAATTGCAAAGATAACATCCATTTTTCTGTAAGCATTTTATATAAATTAATCTTTCATCCTGTCCAATGCATAGAACATAATTTTAGAGGTTTGAGGCTATAATGAAAATGCTTTAAAAAGAAATCAATACATAGTCTCAGCCACTAAATGCCTACTGTAAAGAAAATTTCTTGTACTATCTCACTACCTCTACCTTGGATTCTATGGGCCTGGGGAGAAACTCTCAGAAGATGTTTTTGGATCAGAATGTATCTTTTTCTGAGCCAACTTTTTAGTTTGTTGTTGCTAGTCGCAAAGTCATGTCTGACCCATCGCGACCCCATGGACAACATTCCTCCAGGCCTTCCTGTCCTCCACCATCCCCTGGAATCCACTTAAGCTCACACCAACTGCTTCAGTGACTCCATCCAGCCACCTCATCCTCTGCCGTCCACACTTTTTCTTTTGCCATCTATTGTTCCCAGCATTAGGCTCTTCTCCAGGGAGTCCTTCCTTCTCATTAGGTGGCCAAAGTATTTTTGTACCAATCTACAATGGGGCAGAAATCTATCTTTTCACAGAACTCTAGACCCGTCCATATTTCCCTGTATGTCACATAAACATATTCCTCCCCTTCACCTGAGACTTGGTGATTAGCAGTGGCTCATTTAGTATTTTAGCAATGGAAAACTGCCTGTACCTGTAGCTGAGCCTAAATTTCTTAGAGGAAACTTTTCAGATTAATCTCCTCTCCCGCCAAATTGGTGGAGAATTATTCTTGGAAAGTATTTGATATAATGGTCTTCTCAGTTTCAATATTCTTAAATAGGGTAAGGATTTTTGGGTGCATATGTGGATCTAATTTAATGTTGGTTAATAACATTTTAATGTTTTAAAAAAAGTTCTTGTTCCCTACCATTTCCGGCCCTCTTCTTTTGGTTTATTGCTTCTTTCAACTGCCAATATGACCTAACAATAGAATTTCATTCAGTGTTGAGACTAAAATTCTATATCCACTTACCTAGGATTAATTCCCATTGGATTTAGTAGGACACAGCTCTGAGTGAATATGCATAGGATTCCACAGTAGTTAACCCAAGATTTTTCAGAAGAATTTTCTAATCTTTTTTCCTTCACCACCAAAACTGAAGCAGAATTTCATGTACCAGCTAATATTTGGTGAAATCCCCCCCCACCACCACCACCAAGGTGTAGACAATTTGGAGAGGCCATGTTTCACTCAGCCCTGTCTGCAGACAGCTCCTCACAATCATGTATCCAGTATAAATTGACCATTTGCCAAAACATCCCTATTTATACAATTCAGTTAGCAGAACTTGAGAGTTCTAAGAAAATGAGAAGCTTGCTGTCACTGAAATTTAACAACCCCAACCTAAAGATTGTCATGTTTGGAAAACCCATTGAAATCAGCAGGACAGCTGTGGTCAACCTGAGACCCAATTAAGTTAGCACTGATTTCAATAAAACTTTAGTGTAACTGATTTCCCCTGGACTGGTATGTAGTCTTTCCCTAATATTTGTGTGTGTTACTCGTCTTGTATTTGTAATTCTGTCTCTGATCCCTGTCCCTGTCTCTGATCCCCATCCTCTGTGGTCTCCTACTGGCCTCATGATATATCCTAAACAGTTACTCTTCCTTACAAAAGTGTAAATGAATAAGAACAAAAGGTGGATGTTGAGTGGACACGAGGCTGTTCACTATGCTCTAGAGAGCATAAGCACAATCACATTGTGGAGATAATATAGAACCAGAGGGAAATGTAACAGGCTGGTACTTGGTGCTAGTATGCAATTGCTTACTGTGCCACTAGACTAGAACAGAGAAGGCAGCTTATGCTCCTCCACAAGTTTGTGCTATAGTTCTCATTCCAACTTCTCTCACCATTACCCATGCTGGCTGGGGCTGATGGAATTACAACCCTAAACATCTGATGGACCACCTAGACTTGAACAATAGCTCACATACCGTGAGGCAGGCCTTTTGGGGGAAGTAAAAGAATTGATTCAACTAAGCATGAAGACCATTTCAAACTTTATAAAATTGCTACACATAGATGTCAGATGTCGATTTTGATACAAATGTGCTTTCTGTGCCTTATCTCTGTAATGGGACCCAAATGTCCCCAGAGCAAATACCTCAGCTGATAACAAGCAATATGGCCCTGCCTAATTCATGAGCTGTTGTGGCTTCTTCAAGCCAATTAAGCCACCAACTCAACTGAAATAGAGCATTCAAGGCCCATTTTTTTAGCCTATGCCAGGACCAATCATGCCTCTAGTGTGTGTATTGTGTTAAGACAATACAGAGCATTTCATTCAGGCCAGTGCTCTTGGGAAAAGATGTGACACCAGCCACCTCTGGAGAATTCCAATCTGTTGTCATCCATTTTTGGCTCCTGCTGTACCTTCTCCAGAAGGTTCTAGGAGATTGCAAAGGGAGGAAGAGACATGGCAAGAGAAAGCCTTATTGTGTAGAATGGCCCAGTAAAGTGAGCTTGCACACTCCAGCTGAAATCATATGCATACTATACTGGGAGTAATTCCCAAGTGGGGCTTAATTCTGAAACAACATGTATGTAACAATCACATGGTAGCCTATTGCAGAAAAGCGCATTTGCAAGTGCTTTATTTAGATTTTGCCTGTCCTGGTATTTTGATACTTTAAGAGGCTGTCTCCATATTGGAGAAACAGCAGTAGTGATTGGTTTCACATTTACAAGAAATACTGCTTTGTAGTCCCTGTAACATGAAGTCATGGGTTATGAGCTTACACAGAATGACCATTTGGACCCTTCTAGAGCTGAGCACAAGTGTGGGTGGGAGTGCCACCCTCCATCTCTGAGCACACTGCAGGGATGTGTTCTGCCTGCTGCCCAAATTCCTTTTCAGCTGCTGTAATACCTTGCAGTATAGTTGGAATGTTTCTGTGTCTCATGGCCTTTTTCTCACTGAAAATTGGTAGCTATCCCATGCTGAGCAACAGTCCCTTTGTTTCCTTCATCATTTTTCCCCCTTGCTATCAGCTCTGTGTTTTAATTCAGCCCTTGAAGGTATAATGGCTACTAGGGCTTTCTTCAAAAGCAACCCACTGTGGTGAGAAGATACCATCCACTGATGTGCCTTTTTCCTGGGCCATGTGCCTGGGAGAGGTACACAGAATGGACTGTTGCACACACTGGCAAGCCTTTAATGAGGAAACCATGAGAACAAAACCACTCCTCTCCATGGGGAAGAAAGCATAAAGGTGGCAGATGTGCCCATCCTAAACCAGCCTTATCACATAGCTTCATCCCCATACTCTGCCAATCAGCCACTGACACGGTGCTGCTCACTACAGCTGCCCCAGTGACAGGACTGCAGAACCTCCATTCCCAGTAGCAGATAGATAGTTATTCCATGTTTATTACCAGCCCTTTTTCTAGCACTGGCTTTGGCTGTGGTGGTTCAGCCTGACAGTGAAACCTCAGTACAAGTGGCTGAGATGAAAAAGCCAAATCAAGCAACACTTGGTTGCCTTCCACTTAATTTATGCTTCCACAGCAAGTGACCTGGAATGGAGTGGCAGACAAGAACCATGTCCCTACTCCTGATAGTTAAAAAAATGGTAATTTGAGGAGAAACTACAGTATATGTGTGTAAGCCTAATATAAAAGGATGCCATCCTCCTCCCTAAATTTTAGTATTGTGAAAATTTAGTATTGTGAAAAGGCTGCACTACTTTAAAAGTATTTTTAAGATGCTTGAAAACTCCCACATTCATTCATTCATTCATTCAGTCTCTTTCACATGGCACAATCATTTTCAAAACAGGAAATGTTTTTGCTGGCACTAGGCCTGCTTTCCCTCGTTCCAGATCCCAGGCTGATTTCTTTCTCTGGCTTTAATCTTTAGCAGCTGTGGTCACAGAAACAGGAGGTCATGGTCACAGTGCCTCAGTTCCCCCGTTCACTTCCTCCCAGGACAGCAACTGTGTGTGGAGCAAGAGGAAACCAGTTGAGTGCCATGCCTGTCGTGCAGATATTGGAGTCTGTGCACCCATGAGTAACAGTGCATCCTACGCTTCACAAGCAGGGCACTTACCTCAGCCCCTGGAGAGAGGGCAAATTGGCCAAGGAATGCCGGTCATACAACTTTTGCTATCACTACAAGCAGCAACTGCAGCAGTGCTTCCAGAGAGAGGCCTCCTTAGCTCTGCCCATGCGAACACACCGTGCAGCTGTTCTCTTATGGAAGAAACAGCGAGGAAACGCAAGAGGAAGAAGCCATTACCTGACCCCTATAAAATTCAGTGAATGCAGCAGAGTGATGATGCAACAAAAACCTTGTCTTGCAGCTTGCCTAGCTAAAGCACTACGCTGATTCCACGGAGAACGCTGCCAGCTGGACTCTGTCTCCTTCCTTGAATGCTGCAGCAGAAGCTGGTCTTTCCTTACTGCCATGGTTAAGCTGCTCCTAGTTTCACCTGACCCTCAGGTTCACTGCACCATCCTTCCTATTACCATAAATGGTGAAATTGCAAGTGCTCCTTGAAAGTCTGGATTTATAATAGACATCGTTCAAGAGCCTAGTAGCTCACTGGAACCAGGTGCAGCTTACTAGTATGACAAGGACATCATTATTGATAGATAAATTCTGGCTGATAACGACTATCGGCAAACCCACCTACGCTCTTTATCACACAACTCATTTTCTACCACACTCTAGCCCTTCCTCATGATAATCAAAAGTTGGATGACCACCAAATCATTGCCGGCAGCTCTAGCTCTCTTTTTAACACAGTGGGGCTGGAAAGGCCAGCCTTTGTAGCAGAGAGTAGTAGATAGAGAGATTCCACCCCCACACAAAAAAGGTTTTTTTATTTTCCCTCTGGCAGCCAGTTGACTAAGCTGTCTGCTTTTCATGCTATCTGGAAATCAGAGTAAAGAATTTCCGGCAGGAAGTCCTCAGGGGGCTCATTACAAGCTTCGCTAGCCAAGCCAGCTCTTTCCAGTGTGTGCACAAGCATGTTTATGTGCATATGTTAGCTCACAACTTTCCTTAGTCCACAGCAGCTTGACAAAGTACTGTGTTTTCATTCTTATTTTAATCCCTGCTCCAGTGAAGCTCACTGAACAGGCGGGAGTAAAACACAGTTCTTGCCTGGCACCTCGTGGACGGACATGGATCGAACGTTCATCCAAGCTCAGCCAGGTGCTTTTGTTTGCCACAGCTCTTTGGCTGGCGCTGACAAAGAGCCACAGTGTCTGTTGCTGGGCCAGGCCCAAAAGCCACATTTTCTGGTGCACCAAAGCCACCGGCAGTAATGGCTGCAGTCTAATGGCTTCCTGCTCTCCATGGTGTGGTTTGCTGTTGCCATGGCAGCACAGATTGTGCCGCACGTCACCTGAGTTCCCGCTTCAACTGTTCCTGCGTGGCTGCCATCACTCTGATTCCTTGGACTGTTTTGCCCGTTGTCTGCGTAGCTTCACAAATGCCTGCGCTTCTTTGTCTCCCTTTCGGATCTCTAGCAACTTCAGGATTTCACTGCCTGGGAAGAAAGGGTGCACTTTCAGAAAGGTGCAAAAGTATAGTTCATTGTTTTATTATACTGCTTTGACATACACTTGCTTTCCTGCCATTTAGAATGCCATAATTTATTCCTGTGTGATCAGTGGAGGAATACTAGTGCAATGCGCAGTCACTCTGCCTCCTTTGCGGAATCTTCTGAGAGCTCGAGATGTTGCAACCTGGATGCATTTGCAACCCTTTTGCATTCCCCCCTTCCTCCACCTTTGTTCCCATTACAGAAATCCTGTTAAGGAGGAAAAGATGAAATGGCTGCACATGGTCTTCTGATTGGTAGGTCTAGGAGACCTCCATCTGGAAGCACTCCTAACCATACTGGTTTTAGGATACTTCCAGATGGAGGAGTCCCAGTGCTCCCAATCAGAAGAGTACAAACATAGCAATTCCATTTGCTTCCCCATAACTAATTTGCTGTGGTAGAAATAAAACATGGAGAAATTATAAAAGTAGAAGCCCACATCTTCTAAATTCCTTCTATGATCCTGTGAATGGGGTAAGGTGATGGCACAATACAAGCCTTGTTCAGAAGCATCCACAATTACAAAGCCATCACAAAACCAGGCAGTAGAAAGATGAATACATCACAATCTTATTGGGAAAATGCCTTTACCTGAAGGAGAAACCCTGAGGTATCTAATGGAAAACAGCAGGGCATCAAGGAGAAAAGGCAGGTTGCTTACCTGTAACTGATGTTCTTCGAGTGGCCATCTGTGCAGTCACACATATGGGTGCTGCGCCTGCGCAGTGCCTAGGCCGGAAGATTAAAAAACTAATGGTTTTTGGCGGGAAAACTCTGCTCCCCTCCCCCTTCGTGGTATAAATAGAGCGGAGTGTCTGCCATTTTGTTCAGTCTTGAAGACTGAACATTCGCCCTCTACAGGTTAAGAATAAAATTAGTTGCAAACGGCATTGAGCCCCAACGGTACCGATGCAAAGTATAGTACGGTACCGAGAACAATATCCGCTCACCGGCATATACCATCGGTACCGATGCAAATTACAGCGTGGTACCGAGGCACTTTGCAATGATGGACACCGAGTGGGGCCGGTGGGGGGGGGGGTTTGTGTGACAGCACAGATGGCCACTCGAAGAACATCAGTTACAGATAAGCAACCTGCCTTTCTTCGTCGTGGCCTCTGTGCATCACACATATGGGTGATTAGCAAGCTTACCCAACTCAGAGGAGGGAGGTGTCGTCAGCGAAGAACGGACGAAAGAACAGCTCTGCCGAAAGAGCAGTCCTGCCTGGCGCGCACATCAAGCCGATAGTGCTTGGCGAAAGTGCATGGCCCTGACCACATTGCAGCTTTACAGATATCTTGGAGCGGGACCCCAGCGGCAAAGGCGGACAAAGTCGCAACAGCTCGTGTGGCGTGACCCCTGGGGGTAACAGGTAAGTCTATTTTTGATAGTTGATAGGCCAGGACAATAGTCTGGGTGATCCAGTGCGACAGCCTTTGAGGTGAGACTGGAAGTCCTTTGTCATGTTCGGAGTACTTAACAAAGAGTCTGTTTGTACGACGGAGGGATTCCGTATGGGAGCGACAGAAAGCCAGGCAGCGGCGAACATCAAGGGTATGTAGAGCCCGCTCTATTGGATTCGACGGCGCTGGAAAGAAGGCTGGCAGAACGATATCTTGACTCAGGTGGAATGGTGTAGCCACTTTAGGAAGAAAGGAAGAATCCATACGAAGAACGGCCTTTTCCTTATGGAAATTAAGATATGGAAGGTCTATGCGGAGAGCAGAAAGTTTGCTTGCTCTCCGAGCTGATGTCACCGCTATGGGGAAAGCTGTTTTCCAGGACACCAGGCATAGGCCACCAGTCGCCAGTGGCTCAAACGGAGATTTGGTAAGTGCTTGGAGTACGACCGAAAGGCTCCAGGTTGGCATAGGCGGGCGAATAGAAGGGTGTAGGTTCTGTAACCCCCAAAGGAAACGTCGAAGTAGAGGTTGAGAGAAAACTGAAATCCCTTGAAACGCACCACGATAGTATGAAATAGCGGCTACATAAACTTTAATGGACGACGGTTTCAGTCCCAAATGATAAAGTTCCAAGAGAAATTGTAAAATATTGTCAATTGAGGCCATTCCAGGAGAAAAAGAATGGCAAAGGAGGAAAATCTCTTCCATTTAGCCGCATAAGAGCAACGAGTGGATGGTCTTAGAGCAGATGTGAGAATCGCCTGAATTTCCTGGTCAACAGTCACCGGTAGCGAAGCGGTTGTCATCGAAACTGACCTAGGGGCCGTCAGTACAGTGGAGTGAATACATTCCGGTAGAGGTTCGGATGTCATCGGTACCGACGCAGCAGAATGACTCAAGTGATCCGCCATGCTGTCAACCTCAAGGCAGTCAGATCCGGATGTCGGATCGCTCCGTTTTGCTGCGTTAATAGCTGAGGAATAGACGGGAGGCGAAGAAACATCCCTTTGGATGGACGAAGAAGGGTGGCGAACCACGGTTGTCTCGGCCACCATGGAGTTGTTGTTATTCCTGTGGCATTCTCTTGAGATATCTTCGCTATCACTTTCGTTAGAAGTGGAATTGGGGGAAACACATAAAAGGCTATGTTGTCCCAGGGGATCATAAGGGCATCTCCCATCGAACCCGAGCCTATGCCTGCCCTGGAACAGTATAGGGCACACACTCTGTTGTCGCAAGTGGCAAACAAGTCCAAGTACGGATAGCCCCACAGATGGAAGAGGTCGTGGCATATTTGTCTGTCCATCTCCCACTCGTGCGTTGTTGACATATGTCTGCTCAACATGTCTGCTTCAGTGTTGTCGGTCCCTGCGAGGTGGACTGCTAGAAGCATAATGTCCCTCGGTATGCACCAGTCCCAAATGGCCATCGAGAGACGTGCTAAAGGTGGCGATTTTGTGCCGCCCTGTTTGTTGATGTAGAAGACAGCCGGTATATGTTGTTCGATCCAATCTGGACAACTTGTTGGCATAGGACAGTCTCGAAAGCCCTTAGGGCGTTGAAAATCGCCTGTAGTTCGAGGACGTTGATGTGCTTCCTTGCTTCCCGTCGGTTCCAAGTTCCCTGAACCCTAAGGTCCGCACATGTTGCGCCCCATCCCAGTAGCAACGCGTCTGTATACAGGGTCTTCGTTGGATGAGGTGTTCGGAACGGGACACCGACAGACAGGTTGCTCGGAATGGTCCACCAAATTAGAGTATTGAGTATCACAGACGGAATTCAGATCAGTTTGTTGGGAGAATCTCACTGTGGGCAAAACGACGTGTTGAAAAACAGCTGCATGGTCCGCATCCGTAGTCTGGCATACGGGACAATGGCAACTGTAGCAGCCATGTGCCCCAGTAGTCTCTGAATGGACATAGCCAGAACCGTTCCTAGCATTCGGATTTGATGGATGTGGGCACATAAGGTAGCGCGACGGTCCGGAGGGAGGAAAGCTCTTTCCCGTGTGGAGTCAAGACGTGCCCCGATAAAGTCGATGACCTGCGTGGGAATAAGGGATGATTTTTCGTGGTTAATACATAGTCCAAGATCATCGAGCAAGGCGCAGGTCATGTGTATTGCAGACAGAAGCCCTTGTTTAGTTTGGGAGACAATTAGC